AAGGAAGATCTTTAATAGGAGGAAAGCTGCATAAATTAATATTTAGCCAGAGGAGACTTGATTTAATTTATCTATTAAACATATTCAAACTAGATAATTTCAAGAGCTCACCAGGCAGACTTGTCGAATGCAGAATGATGTAAACCAACTATTAATAACAAATCTCATTAGCATGCTAGTTAGAATCTTAACCTTAACTCAACACAAGCGAACTGAGATAGATACTCGCAAATCAGACAGAAATCAGACAGCAGAAACTTGCCGGCAGTTATAATTATCCACAAGCAACTTACATATACCTATATATATATATAGATACCCAGATATATCTGCCCCCGTCGACCTCCTGACTATTCAGCCACACCTGAGCCCGGAGATCCGACTTCATCCGACTCGCCGGAAACAAGTTCTCTCGGCTGGAATCTGCTATCCATTGGTAACAATTTCAATATTTCCACCGACAAATAAACAGCAATGTAAATGCAAAAGTCCTGTGCAAAAAGGAAATTTATGCATATTTAATAACAACATGGCAGGAGGAACTGGCACAGGAACAGGAACAAGGATATGGAGACGACGACCGGCTACAAAATACAAGGCATTTCTCACGCATAAATGCACCCAACGAGATGAGAAATTCAGGAAAGTATGGCGGCAAAATCGGGGGTTTAACAGAGGGGTAGGGGGTGGATGTGCTCTAAAGAGAGGATAAACAGGACATGATGGGGGGTGTGGTGAAAATAGACGGGGCCAAAATGAAATAAAAGCAGGAGCAACATTTTTGCTAGCAAAATAGTTTTCGCAAATAGTTGATTCGCCAAAAAAAAGTCGAAGCAAATATTGTCCATACGTATATATATATATATATTCATGTTCATGTTGATGCTCATATGCATATGTATATATATACACCGCACGCCATGACATATTGTCCGAGTGGGGCGGCGGCGGGCGTGGCAGAGTCAGCGAACTGGACGCTAATCAAACTTTTTAATATGCCATGCATGCAACGTGCGGCGACTTTTGTTTTGACACACACCGCTATGTGGGCGCCACTGGCAATGGACAGCGGGGGGCGTGGCAAGGCGGTCCGGCATTATGAGATATATATTTGATATGTGCATAATGCCCGAGTTATTAGATGGCATGTGCGCTGGAGATGCAGCCGGAGAACAGATTTAGCTCGAATATGCCTTGGCTACATCTGCATTTTATGTGCTCGTCTTTTCAAGCAAAGAGATACAGTGAGAGAAAATGTGACAAGGAAATCAAATTGAATAGTTTTCATATTTTGAACTTATTTCCTTCGTAGCTTAAAGACTATTCCCCCTAACAACTTTCCTCTTTATTGAAAAGCCATTTCTCTCAGCACTCTAACGTAAGGACTGGCTTAGGGGCTTCGAATAGAAGTGGATAAGTCCGCTGGGAGAGCTCCTCAATCCAGGGAATAATGACAAAGCAACTGCCTCCGCGGAGGAGGAAAAAGACGAAGAGATGTGTGCTTTATGGGAGGTCAGCTAAAAATGCATCATCATGAAATGAAATCAAGTGCATTTATTTAGCTCACAGGGAAAAGGGGGCAGTTAGAAAGGCCACCTCCCTCCTAACGAAAAAAAAAAATAACAAACGCCCACTTTAACAGCTGCCATGTGAGTGGGCGTGCAGTGTGGGAGCACGAAGGCGTGGCAAGATGAATGATGCAGGCGCAACGGCCCCCGTATGTTACACAGTTTCGACTTCCATTTAGTTGCCAGTTTAAATACACACGGGACGGGCCAAAAAATGTTTGGGCCTTTGTTCGAGGCAAGTCAAGGATATAAAAAGGATGTTCCAGCGAGGTGGTGCAGCACTTTTTATGACCCCTCCATTCCAAAGGACTTTCAATGGCTGCGAAGGCAGCGACTATATGCCTGATGGATGGACACTCTGAAAGAAGTGAAATGTGGCTTAGGCCTTGAGAAGGTTTGAGCTGCAGCAACATCAAATTGAAGAGCAACGCCAACTGGAGCTGAAGTGTGGCACATAGAAAGGCATTTCGTTGAAAGGCTTTTGTGAGTCGGACGAGGAATCTTTGAATGGGAACCTACAGGAAGTGATCTTAAAGATCATTACTCAGGGTAACTTAGATTTAAAGATATTTTAGTCAAAAGAAAACTTAAAATTTCATATTTTGAAAATAGAAAATACTCATATTTCCCCCTTTAAATAAGAGAAAGTATATATAAATAAATCCTACCTGCCTTTGTAAATTCAATTTCTAGTCCAAAACAGCCCAAAACTAAATCCCAGATTTTTCCATTTTCTTTAGATTAAATACTTTTCATGTCGTCGCTTTTGTGTTTGGCCGACATTTATCTCCAGTGACCTCCGGACAGAAATTGTAAACAAAATTTTCACCATTAAGAAAATTAAATCAAGAATATTTTCATGAACCGTAACGCTGGCATGTGTGAGCTATAAAATGCCAGTGTCTCCGGCTGGGAAAATGTGTTCTGATGCTCTCATATTTTCCGACGACTGCCGAGAAACATTTTGAGAATTATGGATAGAAAGAAAGCGGGAATCTGAGTCGACAGAAAGGAAAAACTGAAAATGCACAAACATGTGCTTTTATAGTCGGGGACCAAGAGCAACTTTTAGACACATGCAGTAATAAATGAAACAAATTAATTAAAAGTGTGCAACGGGTCGGCTGCGCAATAAATGAAAAGCGAATCGCAATGCCAAAGTTCCTTCCCCAGTCTGAGTGTGTGTGCGTGTGTTTTTTCAGATTTTTTTCTATTGTTGTTGGGGAAGAGAGCTGTTGCTCTCGAGCCATGATAAATTATGCAGCCATCACCTTATTTAAAATGAAGATTAATTTAAGTACTGCCAAATGCTGGTGGCTGCTCCCCCACCTTCTGCATCTGCTCCTATTTTTCCACACTTTTCACCCATTTGAGAAATTGTTGTGCGGCGAGCCAAACAAATGGAAAAGGATGTGATCCTCCGAGTGAGATTGCAAATGGCTGTGGATTCTTTAGAGGGCGTGGATGATATGCAAATCAGACTCCATACAATTGAATATTTAACTACAAAGGCATTGTTGTTTGCACATAGTTTGCCTTTGTCCTGACACGCTGGTTAAGGTAATTAATAATTCTGCATTGGTCTTTGGGTTTTATTTTTGGACTATTTTGCGGAATTTTTAGAATTTCTGTTGGGCCAACCATTCAATCTGTTTGCCTTCGTTTGTTTGTTGTTGAAAGCATTTGAAAAATGTTGGCATCTGTAAATATGGTTAGACATTTATCCTGAAATTTATAGCTTTTCGATTGTTACAAATAAATAGAGGTTGTGGGAAAAAGATTTTTCGGTTATTTTGAAGGTTTTTAAAGTTTTTGTTTTAGTTAATAACCTATTTTCGCCGCAGGCCTTTTCTTATTAAATTCCCATTAAATCTATGAAAAAAAGACACGTCAATCAACCTGTGACATAGCCCTCCTGCCTTACTTTATAAATTTAAATAAATATTTAATCAACTTATTTGGGTTCTCCGAACTCGTTGACATCTGCAGTAATTGGTTTCACCTGTTTTCACTATTTTTTTTGGAACCTGTCAGAAGTTTTAAATAAAATGAAAACGGAATGCTCTTTCGGTTTATTAAACTCAGATTTTATAAAATATATTCATATGAAATTAATTTATTTCAGTATTAAGAATCTCTATTTTAAGGTAATTAAATCTAAAAACACTTTAATTAGGCATTTAATATCCTCTCTTTGTATACAAGTTTCAAGGGAACTGATTTATTTATCATCATGAGTACCAAAACACTTATTTAAATTGTTTTTATAACTTATGTATCAAAATTAAACTTGAAAAAAACAACTTACAACAATAATCTGCAAATAATATTCCTCATTCGAGTGCCCTTTAGACTTTCAAAAGCCCCATGAAATCGATTTATTTAACGCTTCCCAATTCGCTGACACGTGAAGTGAGTGGCTTCACCTATTCCCACGACAAGGATGCATTTTGCACCTGACAGGCGTGTGGAAATCCTTCCCCCCATTGCCACGTAACACCGTAGCCCGGCCATCAAACGGGGCTCAAACCCCCGTGGAAATTGAATTCTCCATAAATACCACGAAAATCTTGTGTCATGTCTGTCCGGATATCTTGTTGTCCTCCAGTGGAGACTGTTTTTCTGTCTGATAACTTGCCGCCGGCTGCGCCAGCTGCTGCATTTTACCAGGATGCGGGAATGTTTCTCCGGTTTTGGGGCACGCCACGGCCTACATAAATATGCATATGTTCCGCAAACATTTGCCAAGATATATGGAGGGATGGGTGCGGAATGGATGGATGCAGATCCAGATGTGGTGGTCCCCCGAAATTCATGCGAAAACTGCTGACATTTTCGAAAATAAATGCAACGTCAGAAATATTGCACATGCATGCAGATACGCGTCAGGCAGCGTGATAAATATACAAATCCCAGTCAGCTTTTGCCGGTTAGACATCCGTTTAATTGAGTCAACATAGCGTAGCTCGGCGGAAGATTCATTCCGGATTTCAGAGGAGGAGGAGATGGAAAAGGAGGAGAAGCATGAGAATGGTCGTGAGAATGGGCAGCAGGAGAAAGGGGGCGTCAAATTAACGCTGTCAACTTTTCGCAGCGTGCGCAGAAAACATTAAAAACTAATTTATGGATTTGCAAGCCAACTCCCGCGTTGATTTATGTACACTCGCCGAAAGAAAACTAGAAGAACTAGAATCTAAAGTTGGCCAACAACATATATTAAAAGTCCATTTCGAATTGAAGGACTTCTCCTCCTTACTTAACAAACTCTTTTGAATTTATGTGTTTATGAAATGACTCCTAAAACTTATTTAAAAAATGTATTTAAAACGGGATATTAAGATTTAAAATGCAGTTGGATGATTTTTAAGACATATTTCATATTTCAAGTTAAAAATGTAGTTTTCTAGGTGAAGATCCCCATGGAATACTCACAGCGTTTGGGTATCCAGAGGCACCTTGGGCACAGCGGAAAGCTTAGCCCGGATGCACCGTACAGTTCTCTCCAGGCAGGTGCATCCCGATGGGCAGTAGGCGGACTGAACACCGCCGGAGAGGAGCAGCAAGCCGAGCAGCTGCAGCAGGAGCAGCAGAACTCGCATTTTCGTTGGTCAGTCAAATCTCACGCACTTCTCACCAAATAGAGGTTCTTGTTTCAAGATTTGTTCAAGGCAACTCAACTCGCGGCGATAACTTCGTTCCACGGGCGGAAGTTGGAACCACTCGCTTATCACCAGCGGTTGGACAACGTTTATCACTGAATGTGGTCCCTAAAAAACACTGAGCCACAGCGGCTTACATATCGCTTAGAAAGCTCAAAGCTGTACAAAACAAAAATCCAAGATTTATCAGTTTGGATCCCAAATAGCAAAAGTTGTATTTGTAAAAAATAAAAAGATTTTAAAAAATATTTGGAAAGAAATTATAATAAAAAAGTTAAACAAAAAATATTCAGAAATTTGATCTTATTCGATTTGATTTAAAACTCATTTAAAAATAAACGTTTTTTAATATTTGTTCTATTTTTTAAAACAAATTTCTAATTTAAATTTCGTTTAGTTTTGGTCTTGCAAATTAAGACCATAAGACTAAAAAGGTTAAACAGTTTTTCAAAGTAAAAAATATTTGAATTGAGTTTTATAAATCTTTTTTAACTTTAAATTATAGCTAGCAAAGCTCTCTTTTTTTACAACAAGCGAAAGTTACCGAAACTTTACCAATACCACTGATATTTTCTCTCAGTGCCTTCGCGAAATGTTTAATTTTAGAACAATATTTTGTTATTAAACGAGACCGGGCCTCTACGACCGAGTGAACTGAACTGCACGCGCCAAATGCCGACTAGCATCTGAGCGCCGAGGAACAGAAACAGAAACTGAAAAGCGGAAAATGAACCGAGTCGCCGAGTTGCACTTCGGCAGAGGACTCCGTGCCGGATGCAGACTGTGATAACATTTTCCTGAGGCTCTGGATTCTCAAGAGTTCTCGATATTAGTTGGCCAGCATGTGACTGAAAGCCTATGTGAACTGAGCCTGCATGGGATGGACGGATGGATGGATGGATGACTCTATATCCAACATATAGATATCGGTATGGTATCAAGGCCGAAACACTTGTGTTGCACCGGCATTTTCAATGTATTTTCAATGCGGACGCAAAGCGAGCAAAACAAAACACAACAAGCATACGCCACGTTGCACTTCCACAGCATCAAATGCTCCGCCAGCCTCATTTTTAATGCATGAAGGGGTGGTCTCTCCTCCTCTTAGTACACTCCATTTGTTTTTCCATCCACTGAGGGGGAGGAATTGTTAGGGGTTAGGGGGTGGACCGATAGGGGGCTGCAGATCCGAAACTGCTCGCTTAAGCGGTCGGTGATAAGACGCGAAATCAAATTTAAAAGCTATCAATTTGATATTAGTTCGGGGACCGGCGTGAACCCTTTGGGGGAGAACTTCCAACGCGTGCCAGAATGCAGAAAATGGAGTTTGATTTTTGTTTTTCAGGGGAATTCCCCCACAGAGAAAGAATACTACAGATATTTTATGCTTTTAATAATTCAAAGTCATGTTTTATGAATTAATATCCGAAGTTCTAATATTTTATACACATTTATGGTTATTATAGATGGCTTTTTGTAAGCATGAATAGGCTAAAGAATATTTGAATATTTGAGAGAAATTATTTAACACATTAAAATGACTTTCAAGGTCACTAAGTAAAAACTTTTGATACAAATTCTCCTTTGAATAATTTCCAATAATATTTAATTATAGACAACATAAGATACCTTAAGTTATAATTTAACGTTTTTATGTAAATGTTCAATAATTTTTCTCAGTGCAGCCTATTTGTTTTCGTCCGACATATGCTGCAGCTCATAAAATTTCTCCGTTTTGCTGCAGTTTTCATTTTGGCTTATTTTTTTCGGCAGCACTTTTTGGTTAGCTGTCGAAGTTTTGAAATCAATTTGCAGATGATTTATTATGTTTGATAGAGGGAGGGGGTGAGGATAGTCTCCAAGAGGAGGAAGCTGTGCATACGACATCGCAAATGGAAGCCACTGACGTTGATGAATGCCGCTGTGTATTGTTTTGCTGTCAGTTGCGATCAAATTTCTGTTTCGGGGCATCGAATTCCAGGTGAAGCGGAAAATTTGCAAGTTATGCGACAGTTTTATGCGCCCATTTTTTGATTGCCAAGCGTGGAGGAAGCGAAGGAAGTATCAATATATTCGCAAATTGATTGCACGTCTGGGGGAAAATGATTCTCTCTTGGGAAATGTTTATTTGTTAAGAATAAAAGGATAATTCGATAGAAATATAGTAATGATGCTACCTTTTTTACAATTTTTATTAACACAAAATCATTTGATTTAGTTAATTTACACTTTAAGCCTTTTGAAAATGTAACCGCACATTTTTCAAAAATAACCGCCTTTAGGCTTTCAGAAAACAATGCTGCCCATAGAATATCATATGCTATGGGCACCACTTCAGGCACAGCTGTTTGTTATTGTCGTTATCGATAACAGTTCAACAATCAACCCGTAGTTTTCGATAAACATATGTTTCTTTCATCTGTTTGCAAAATACGCTGCGAAATCGGCCGAAAAGTGTAATGATATAGCCGCTATATCTGATATGTCCAAGCGCAACAATATAACTTACGTCAAGCCGCAGGAACCGAGTTTTTTGGCCAAGTTGAAGGCAGAAATTGGCTACAAAGAAGGGCCCAGCGTAGAGACCAAGGTGAGTTTTTGTGGTCTCTGTAAACCGGGGAATTCTAATTCGGAATTCTCTGCTATTAATTCTGCAATAGCGCCAGCGTTTGGACAACGAGCAGGAGGATTACGATTCTGAGGAGGATTCGCGGCCAGAAAGGGAGGACGAGCAGCCTCAGGTAGTGGTCCTTAAGCCAGGAGATCTGTCCGCTGAAGAGGCCAAAACGGAGAAATTGTTGGCCGCCAAAGGTTGGTACATATATACATACCTATATAATATATACATACTTACACGCTCGAACACACACACACGCACATAGACAGACAGCGGCGGCGGCAGTTGCACGTGTGTGCGTAGGTAGGATGTTGTAGTTTGTCTTTCAGTTTAACTTTTCAGTCAGAATCGAGCGGTTGTCTTCTTCTGCCCAGCGTTACATATATCTAATACATATGTATATGTGCACGTACATATATGTATAGCATTATTTTTATATGTGTGCGCGCGTGTGTTTGTGCATTTTTGCCACTGAAAATATAACGGTAGTGCAAAAAGTGCCGTTTGTTGCAAATTTTGTGGCCAAAAAGTAGGTGTTTTTAAAGGCCACTTCATTGCCTTCTTCTTTTAAAGCCCTATGTTACCATGGCAATCTTTGTAATTTCCGTCCAAAAGATTCCCTTTTTGCCCAGCGGAGCACCCCTCACACAGACACACACAAACACACTAGCTAGCCGACGAGGCATACACACTGACATTTTCATTGGGGGCTCCGCTAAAGCAAAACATGTGATGAAAATCGTTGGCAAAGCGGGCGGGGCGATAAAGCAGCCGGCAAAGAAGTTAACAACAGCAGCTGCCGCTCGCTTTGTCCCTCTTCCGCTCCCCCACACCCCTGCTCCCCGTCGCCCCCTTGGGAAGAGCGCAGAAAATCGGGTGAAAACAACGTGTGCAAGAAAGAACGGATGAAGGAGGCGGCCAAAGCGGAGAGACAATGATGAACGAAGCAGGCGAGCAAAGAGAAAAGAGCGGGCCAAAGTGGCTTGACGACGTGGTAGAGGCGGGGGAGGGCGGAAGAGGAGGCGGCTGTGGAGGAAGGGGAAGAGGGGATGTTGGAACAGCGGGGGCGGGTTGCGAATCTCTAGATGGAGCAGGAGGAGCGGCGGGGATTTACCAGGGCCGAGAAAAACATCTTGTGGGTGATACTTAGAAAGAGGGGGAATCGAAGGGGTCATTGGGTGGCCTGTTCTGATTTTCCAACCTTCGTCATGCTGCATTTTTCAAACCCAGATACATTGATAGATTCCATAATGATTTTGAATTAGCAAATTGCTGATGTAATGTTAGTAATCTTAATACATAATAAAAAGTCGCATAATTTTCCTAGTTCATGAATGCTCAATAACTATTTCCAGCTGTATATAATTCTAATAGATACAGTTTCTGACCAGTAGTTATTTTTCATATCTTAAAACTGTAAGATACTTTGTGTGACCACAAAAAATGCACAGAGTTGTTGATCTTTTTGAATTTGTAGTTTACCGAGAAATATTTTTCATTATAAATATTGAAATAACAAAAAAAAAAATCCAGAAAAAAATATTGTTTTATTCTTTACGTCAAGCAACAACTAATTTCCCATTTTAATCTTTTCCAGAACTTGCCGAAAAGCGTGCGGATTTGACTCAGCCCATAGTCTTTAAGCAGCGGGTCAAAGAGCCAAAAATCGACGAAGATAAATCCCAATCCGGAAACACCAGGAAGTCCGGAAAATCTAAAAGCAAAAAGTCTAAGACCGCCAGCAGCAAGCTGTCCTTCAACGAGGACGAAGAGGACGAGACGGCCGAGGATTGAGGATCAGAATTACATAGTTATCCGGCAGTAGCGTCCACTAGCCAAGTCAACCCACAGCGAATGATTAAGGTGAGATATTTAGGCCAGAAACTGTAAATGATAGCTTTAGGGTTTCTTGGTTGCCATGCGAATTTTGTAGGTTAAATATCGAGTTTTGCATATGTATGTAAATAGCAGCAGCGAAGTCAGAATGACGCAGCCATTATGTTAATCATTGACTTTGGATTTTGCATTAGTAAAATATCTTCAATTTTGCAGTAACTTAATCAAATTGCATCCCATCTTTCAAAACTTAGCTTATACCGCATTACATAACTTTTAGAAGTTTTTTGCATATTTATTGTAAAAAAGTTAATATAATACTTTTTGTTTTTATAAAATTGTTATCATTATATGAATCATACAGGGATTAGATCACCAAGCTAAATATCTTAACTCATAAAAATAATAATTCAACCATTTTATCACACTTTGTGGTTGAAAAGTTAGAACATCAGATTCGATTAAATTTAATTCTCAATTTCATTTCATTTTAAAATGTTCTTAATTATTTATAGTATTCATATGAATATGTTGTGAATCATACAAGTTGGGAAAAAAAAATCTTCTACTTAGTCATGCCGCATTCTTTATTTTCAGAATAAGTTGGTATGATCTTTAATTTTGATCATGTTTTATATAAAAAATGTATTGTTCACTTCGTAATATACAAATCTTTATCTTTAACTAAGTTCAGGATGTCCCACGTAAGACTAAAATTGCCAACTTGTATCTATAAGTCTAGAAACGGTTTCGATCAAAAATGTATCTTTAATTCTGTTCGTTGTTCAACTTCATTAGAACAGTTTCTTTGTTTCTTAAAGACTTGTAATTTACTCAATTTTTCTATTAATTTTATTTGAATAATTATATAACGTTTTGCAATATATGTTTGTGATCAAAGTCATTAGCAAAAGTATCTTTTTATCTTTAGTTACGATCCTACAGAACAGATTTTAAAACCGAACAGTAACAACCTAGTAATTTTCGCTCTACTTAGCAGTCCGAAATATGAATTGGCTAATTTACTTGATATCGAAAAAGGTCACGTGTATGTATAACATAAAGTGCGGCGATAGTTGGGTCTTAAGTTTGGGGTTTGGGTCTTTAAAGGACCCACCGTTGGTGATGGTGGCGATTGGTTAGGCAACTCCTTTGCTCTCCGGTGCCCTTCGACCTCTGTCAAGTTGATGATCACGGGGGAGGGGGTGGGAAGGGGATGGAAAATGCGCCAGAAGCGGGTTACTTTCAAATTTTGTACTTGCATATAGACCAAATCGCACAGACACACACATACATACAGAGCCTTACATACGGACATACATATTTAGTTGTATGTATACATATAGATAGGTATGTACGGATGTTTATATGCCGGGGCAGTGGGTGCGAAAGAGAGGGGCAGCGTAATCTGAAATAAGTTGGAGAAGAAGAAGAAGCATCAGCAAAAGTATCGTGATGAGTATACAGTTTAAGACGCTAGTATTAGTGTGCGTGTGTGTGTGGGCGAGGGGGGCGGGTCGGCGGGGGAGCTGCAGCTTGCCATATTAATTTGTGATATTTAAGCCATTAAACATTTTTCGCGCGCTCTATTTGAATTTCTGCACATGCCAATTCGCATAAATCCATCAAAGTAAAACCGGCGACAAGCAATGCCGTTTCAGTTTTGTTTTGTTCATTTCGTTCGTGGCGCGCGTACAATTGTCAAATTTGTTTTCCCTCCCATTCCACGGCATTCCATTCATACACACACGCACACAAGCACATGTATGCGGGCCATGCGCTTCACACGGTAATTCGCTATTTTAGAGAGACATTGGGAAAAGTAAGAGAGGGATCTCTCTTTAGCCGGCAATTTACATTTTGTTTCAGCTTTTTATGAAGAGAAATAGGCATAAATGTTGCAACTAAATATATAATTAATTGCCAATTCGGCACTTGTAATTGCCGCTATCGATGGCCGATAGTCGATATCCGATAAGCTATGCAACCCTGTGCGCGCTCCGGCTGTTCGTTGCAACTCTGTTTTTGCTTTTTCCGCCTCACACATTTCCAGTTTGCCTTGTCTGCTTGTTCGTTCGCTCGTCTCTTGTGTCTCCGCTTTCGGCGTTCTTTCCACTCAGTTTTTTTTCCCAAAAAAAACCCCACGCAAAATTTTCGGATTTTCCTTGGTTTTTTTCGCCGCGAAAAGGATCCTTGATTTTTGACAGTATTTTTGTTTATTGTGATCAAGGGAGCAAAAGGGAGGCGAAACAAAACAACAACCTGCCGAGTGTAAGGGGAAAATGTGAATGTAAGTGCGGCTAAAGCCAAACAATGCCAAAAGAGGTTAAAAATGTTTGTTTCTTGTTGAATAAAAAGTTAGTTTTGTTGTATAAAATGTATATTTAAAATTAAGGTGAGATCCATACCAACATAGAAGCAGAAAAACACACACACGCACACCAAAGCAAGCGTACACATACATGGACAAACACTAGCGCAAAAACACGCTCCTGTACCAAAAAGTACAACAACAACAACTACAGAAGTAGTATACTCCACCACGCCGCCAGCCGAGCAACAAAAACAACTAAAAAAGCTAAAGCCAAACGTCGTCATCCGTGCCGCCCTCCGTCCCTCCCCCTTGCCCACATACAAACATTCAAATATATATATATATGCCGTCGTATATATAGATTGTATATATATATGTGCAAGCGGTGTGTGTGCGTTTGTGTCTGTATGTATGTCAATCGTTTTGTTGGCTCTGCTCGGTAACTGTTCGTTTGTACATATAAACATTTCATATAAATATATATGTTTTATGCATATATGTAACTATGTTTTTGCCCAAGTAAATATGTAAATTACTTATATACATATATATTGGCACATAATAACTCCAATGCCCTGCTTTTGTTTTTCTCGCAGTGTAAAGTCATTTACATACTTACATTACATATTAAATTGTATTTTAGTTTTAATCCAATATGGCAGCCATTTTGTATCAAACCATTCTTGAGCTCCCCCCGCTTCCCTGCCCTACCAGCTGCTTCCTCTTGCCCTTTTTTTGTCCGCCTTTTCTTGAATTCACCTTTTTAATTCACCTAGATTTTCAAATATTTTTCGGTGATTGTTAATTTTTCGCCTTCTTCTTTGCACCGCCCTCTTCTTCGCCTTCCTCTTTCTGCAGTTTTAGCTCTTTTTATTTTTACTCTTTGCCCGCTGCGCTTTGTGCTGCTCATTCGTTGCTTTTTGATACTTTAGTTTTCTTTTACGTGCCAATTTTTCCGGTTGGTCTAAAGAAGCTCCCCATTAATTTTTCAGAAAATAAACATCTCAAACCAAGTTTTAATTTTCAATTCATCTCTTACAGAAACACCAACAGCTGGAAGATAAACCGACTTGGGCACATTCCACGGAGCAGAGAACGGACCTCAAATGACTGAAGTCGATGTCGTTTTGCCGGAGGGCGTGGCCGAGCCCACGACAAAGCTTGCCAGCGCATCAAATAGTCCGAAACAGTCCAAAACATCAGCAGACGATGATGAGCAGCGTGTCAGAACAGAGGACGAGGAGGAGCAGCAGGAGGAGGAACACTTGACAGAGGCACCATCAAAGGAAAAGTTAGAACTTCTCTCCACCGGCGATAAGGACATCGCCAAAGAGGATGTGGCTCAGGCTTCTCCACAAGCTCCAGCGCCCGAAGAGATAATGGAGGTGGACGACAACGAGGAGGTGGTGGAAAATGAGGTGGAGAACGACGACGAGGACTCACAGATCACCAGTACCAGTTCCAAAGAGCACAAGCTGGGAGAAGAAGATGAGGAAGAGGAGGCCACCACCAATGGGGATGGGGATCATGAACCCGAGGACGAAGACGATGCCGAAAAGATCGGTAGCACGGCGGAAAATAGCTGCGAGGCTGAAGATCCCTTGGGGGCAGCCACAGTTCAGGGAGAAGAGCTGGTCAGCAGGAAGAAATCCCAGCTGGATGCCGATGAGAGTATGGCCAGCGAATTAGAGGACGATGAGCCTACGGCAAAGCAGGAGAATGGGTTTGCTGCCAGTCCTAAGCAAAAAGAGAATGGCCAGGCCAGTTTAGCGGAGACCAAGGCTGCTGTCGCCTCCTCTGATAGCGCTGTGGTTAACCTGGATGAGGACAGTGACGAGGAAATGGAGGAAATCACGGAGCACAAGGAGGCGGATAAGCCCACGGAGCAGGCAGCCAAACCTGCCTCCTGTAGCGGTGGTGATTCATCAGACGATGCCGTGCTGATAGCCTCAGACTCGGAAACGGAGTCCCCGGCTCCACCGCCGCCAGTGAAGAAGCTTCCCCCAGTAGTCAAGGCAACGCCGCCGCCGCCACCTGTGCAGGAAGATGAAGATGATGACGACGACGATGACTGCGTCGTAATTGAAGACGACACACCGCCAAGTATTTCGCCCAGCAGCAAACGCAAGAGCGACCTGGATGAGCTGCAGCAACCCAGTCACAAAAGGCAGCGTAGTTCGACGCCTTCAGGAATGGGACAGCTAACCATAAAGGACGCCCGTTCTCTCATGCCACTGGATGGCAGCCCGAGTTCTGTGCCAGGACCCCGGGATTCAGTCTATCCGGTGACCATAACAAATGCTGTGACGGGAGCGGCAACCAATCTGGGTGTTGTGCCGCCTAAGTTGGTTCCCATGGCGGGAGGCATAACCGCAAGCCCAGTGCAGCTGAATCCGCCTACTCTATCGCTTACCGGACTGCCCAGCATGACCAACAATGCTAACCTGCTGCCCGGACTCACAGACGATATGTTTGTCCTGGAAGCACCCTCCTTCATTGTTCCCTACATTTACGAGAAGCCACCGCACGAGAATATCTGCGAGGTGGTAAAAGCCATTGAGACCAAGTATGCGCTATCTGCAGAGGATTTGGCTGAAGCGGACAAGGGTGACGAGTTTGACATGATGACCGAGCAAAATAAGGAGGATAAGCCAGCCGATCAAGCTGACGATGGCGGCAAAAAGAAAAAGAAGAAGCGGGGCGACGACGAGTCCTGGTCAGAGCAATCGGACGATGATGATGACGAAGACGACGACGATGATTCGGAATCAGGGATGCGCACAAAGGTGCTGATCAAGGAGGCAAATGACGACTTGAGCGCACTGAAAGTTGCCATTAAGCCCGCCGCCGCCTTAGCCACAGCAGGCGGAGTATCTGCCAACAATCCAGGAGGCAGCAAGCCCGGACAGGAGAACTACTTTGAAAGTCCGCTGGGAAAGTTCTTCATGGACATTGGTGTGGGTCTGGTGCAGGAGTACGTACAGGCGGATCTGTTGCGCCTGCAGAAGCGGAAGATGCGCAAGGCTCAGGTGCAAAATCCCAAGGAGTTTGAGATGGCTATCAATGCGCTGTCGGGCAATCTGCAGGCATCCAAGACGAAAAACGCTCCCTTCAAGTTCCGGATGAAGCGGTGCGAGTTCTGCAACTTTAAGTCGGAGTCTGCTATGGCGATGGCCAATCATTACGAGACGCCGCACATGAACGGAGTGCTGTATAAGTGCAACTTCTGTACGTTTGAGATAAGGAACGCAACTGAGATTGTCTACCACATGGAGGCTGTGCACAACATAAAGGCGCGACTAATCAAGCCACTGCCGTACCACCAGTGTCCCAACTGCGGCTTTGAGGACAATGGCAAGGCGAAGCTGGCGCGTCATCAGCCTGTTTGCGCCAAGAAGTTCCGGCCGGAGCTTAACCTGGCACCGCCCAATGACTGGGAGGCACCGGCCAAGATTCCGCGCATCAAGCCACGTCATGGTCTTGTAGGCACCGCCACCGCTTATCAGGTAAGTTTTGCAAGTTAAATTATTCTATAACCTTTATTAATTTGATTTTCGTATCTTCTAGGCCATGGCTGCACAGGCGGCGGCACAGAAGGCTGCCTTGGCTAACATCCAGCAGCAGCAGGCGGCGGCGCAGGCCAGGAATAATTTGCAGGCAGCCGCTTTAGCTGCCCAAAATGCGGCGAAGATGCGACAGCGAGCCCCGCAGCCTCCCAAGCAGAATATGGTGCGCAATCCTGCGCCTGTGCGAGGAGGCAATTCGATGAATGCGAGTCTATCGTTGCCTAACAGCTACCAGCTGGCTGCCGGACAGCTTGTGCAGGTAAGCTTTTTGAAATATTAATAATTCATATTCCTCCATAAGTCAACGACCTATGACATTTCCTATATCATTCTAAAAATAAATTTGGCAAACTCTTCTTAATAATTATGAAGTATTCTATAATTTCTATATTAAAATTAGCAAAATTGCTCATTTCTGCTTACATCTGATATAAATTTAAGACTTAGCTTCTTTTATATACCTTAACTCTCTCCCTCTTATAAACCGGTTTTAATCAAATAACTATTTCTTAAACCAGGCGTCCAAGAAGCCGATGGCCGGACAGCCCAGCATCTCGATAACGCCATTACCTCGTCAGAGCTCGGTGGGCGCCGGAGCGGGTGCGTCTTCCAGCAAGGCGCCCCAAGCGGCTGCAGGGATGAAGCCTGGTCAGAGTCCGAGCGGCAACAACAAGGCGCAGTTTGTCATCTGCGAGATTTGCGATGGCTACATTAAGGATCTGGAGCAACTGCGCAACCACATGCAGTGGATGCACAAAGTGAAGGTACAGCTGAGTTTCCATTTGCCCCTGTTTTCCTCATTGCTAATAAATATTTTTTATATAACAGATTCATCCCAAGATGATCTACAACAGGCCGCCATTGAATTGCCAAAAGTGTCAATTCCGATTCTTTACGGATCAGGGATTGGAGCGACATTTACTGGGTTCCCATGGCTTGGTCACAAGCTCTATGCAGGAGGCTGCTAACAAGGGCAAGGATGCCGGTCGCTGTCCAGTCTGTGGAAGGGTAAGTCTCACTTATAAATGGATTCAGAAAGATAGCACTTTTATCGTGCTATTATTCTTATCTGCATTGTATATGACTCCTGAATGAGTAATTTATAACTATATGGATTTTCCCCTGCAGATGTACCAATGGAAGTTGCTGAATCACGTGTCACGCGATCACCACATGACCCTAAAGCCCGCTCACCTGTCCTACAAGTGCACCGTTTGCACGGCAACCTTCGGCATGTACAAACAGTTTGAGACGCATGTCTATACCGCCCACAGTACTGTGGCCAGGAAGGCGATGGACAGCAAGAAGAACAGTGCGCAGTCTAGCGGGTCGGGATCTGGAGCAGGGATGTCGCGCAGTTCGTTGGGAGCGGCCAATGACTCGCTGCTGAAGCCGCTTAAGATTAACGATGAGATCACTATCATACCACAGCCCGCATCAAAGCCACGCATCACAAATATGGAGAGTCATGTCATAGGTACGTGATTTTCCGGCTTCAAACGAAGGCTGAAAGAATGAAATCGGATATTTTATCAATACTAAGCTATTTAAAAAAACTAGTTAAAATCGGATATGAAACGAATTATTCAAAGTTAATATATTACAAAAAGTTATTGCGAAAAATAGCTTGGAATTTTCTAAAGATTAATATTATCTCTCCGTATTTTATGCTTATATTTTCCATGAAGTGGACGCCTATTTATATTTTTGCTTTTATCTTCACAGATTAAAATGCGTGTTGGATCAACCAAAAACCTAATCTCGCAAAGTTTGCAGCATTGACAGCGCTTTAACTTTAGTTTCGTTTATAAGCCGAAGGCGACCTTGCCGCCCCAAGGTCACGCCCTTTTACTTCTGTAAGTCGAATTGTATAAAGAGCATGAGTATAAGCAGAAACTGAAACGGAGGAGGAGATGGAGCAGAGTGGAAAGCCGGTGTCAGCCACCTGTGTGACCTGTGACCCCCTGACTAAACTAATCTAGAGTAGTCCGTACTCGCTGCGGTTTAATCACAAACACAACAGCTACAGGATACGCGATACACATATAAAACGCTAACGGCATAGATACAGATACAGATTAGAGATACTAGTTACGGATCTTAGTTACATACGTTTTGGAGTGTGCACATAAGTTGAAGTTGTAGCTACTACTAAAATATACCACATACATACATATATATTTAACTATATTTAAAGCATATTATGAAGAAGCCGCCAGAGCGCATCGTCAGCATGATGACTATGTAAATTAGTTAAAAACTAAACTATTTATACGAGAACTACGAGTATCCAAATGTGTGTTGCAGTATGTATATACATTTTGAATAGGTCTCCGCCCACGTAATTGGTGTGCTTCGTTTCGTTCTCCTCTCGAATCTTCTAGCTTATTTTTGCGATTAGTCGATGAGGCAAAGGGGGAGTGACTCGGAACGGAGCGTTGTGGAGAGAACTCTTATAAACTGATCTGAGAGACGTTCGACATTTTAATTTTTGTGTACAAGTTTAAACTTATATTTATATTACACATTATCTATTAATATTAAAGTATATATCATCTATTACCACCTAAGATCAACATGTACTACAGTTATAAAGCAAAACCACACAACCAACCAACCAACCAACCAACAAACCACAACAACAAACAAACTGAAAATGAGAAAATTAAAAACCTAGTTAATATAAAATGCTAAGATCAAAGCGGATTTTCATTGCACTTTTAAAAGGTTCTAGACGGGCCTCTTTGGCTGACTTCGGATCCACTCCATCATCCGCCGACGTCAGAGGTGAGAAGTGATTGGAATGCTTTTAGCAGTAGCCAGTCACATGACTATGACCACCTCGCACCGTCCGAAGACGAGATAACACCAGTGGAAAAGACAGACGCCTCATTTACCTAGCACTAATGCAAAATTTATTTTTACTTTACAATAGAAAAGTGAAATTCCAACCTTGTGATGTGACCAAGGCAATTGTGCTGATCTTTTGTCCTCGTCCAGTCTTTTCTAGCACTGTAGGTACTTAAGTGTGTGAAGCCATAAAACTAAGTAGATCTAGAGTATACGTATTGATAGGTTGTATGAAGAGCAACGCACTGCATCACGATGAGATTCCGACAGGGAAAGCCTAATCCTCGGGCTCCGTCTGTGCCACCTCATTATCGGTGACTGGATTTATTGGCACGGACTGGCCAATTTGCGATGACGGTGGGAACAGCTGAGCGGCATGTGTAAGCTTGGACAGCGCATCCTGATCCAGGATCTGTGGCTTATCCGCGGCACTGGTATTGGATCTGCTCAGTTGATAGAAGGCGGTGTCACTGTGCGTGATGTTCACAATGCTTCCAGTCAGGGGCAGGGTCTCCAGAAGTTCCTGAGGGCTGCTAAAAGCTCCCAGATTCACGGGTGCAATTCCGGTCAGGACTTGTCCTGTAACGTTTGTCTGGATGGGCAGTGGAATGTTACCCAGGTCAATGTGACTCTTGTTGCTGTGCGTGTCATAGAAGGTCAGGTCCACGCGCTCTTGGCTCTCGAAACTGGTGTCATTTTCGCCCACCTCCGTCAGAATGCCAATCTCATAGACCACCGCCTTGACCACGTAGCTGAAAAGGAAATAAAAGCCAGTTAGATATTTTTCTACGTACTTGCATTTGAAATTTTTTACATAGCAAAACTATAATAATCTTTGTCTTGGTGTATATCATATCATTTTAAACTTACAGATTCTTAGGGCTATCGTTGACGCTGGCCCTCAGCTCCTCGATGGTGGCGTTGTCAATGCCAGAGCTAACATCCAAAACGGGCAGAGAGCCTCCGATGGCCAACAGCATACCGAGCACGGCGGCTCCAAACACAGCCTGGTGGACCTGCATCTTAAGGTTTAGGCTTTTGGAAGGCTAAGGAAGACGGCCTGCGCTGTAGCTCTGCTGGGATAGTGGCTCCGGTGCCTCGTCTGACTTTCTCGCGTTTAAAGTTAATTAGTGCAGATCGGAGCGCTTTTATAGCGAATACGACCGCCATGGAGGTTCGGTCGGGTCCGTTGGCGAGGCGCGATTCCGCGTAATTATCGGCAACTGTTAATTGCCCGACAGGTTTGCCACTCTCAGGGGTCTCCATCCCCAGTTTCTAGGCACACCGAATCAGACTTGGCTTCCGTTTCAAATGGACTGGCGATTGTTTTTCGAGGTGGCCAGACTCTAATTAATTGTGCCCGTTTCGGGAGCGTGTCCCAGGGACTGTCCCCCAGTCGAGTCCACACAAATATTGACCATTGGCAAGGGCTGCCTACGCAAATCTCGACTTGGTGTTTACGAGGCGGACTGTCCAAAAATAAATCCATAAACATTGCACCTTTGGTGACGCATTTGTCGGGATTATTGCATGTGGCCTGGACACGCGCCTGTCTGCCAAGATTATTCACATTACGCATACGCCCCGGCTGACGAAGGCATGTGCTTTCACCGCAAATCAGAATCATTTGCATCTAATATGCAATGTGTGTGATATTTTTATCACATGCTAAGCTTCTTTCTATTTGTATCTCACGATATTACGTATAAGCCTAGAATGACATTAAAAACTCACCAACGTCCAGCAATTCACTTTCTTCCTAAATTTGTTATTGGTTTTATCTTAGTTCAGTATTTCAATATAACACATTGTTATTAAACATTAGATATTATTGATAAATTAAAAATATTGTTCACAATTTGTTGTTAAATAAAAATAACAATTTAAGAAAACAATACTAATTTTAAAAAGCACAAAAATCTCCTTATCCGTTAATAGGAACCGAAAAAATGCTAGCCCAGACCTATAATTAATGCACAGATGTGGAGATATTACGCACATCCCCCGCCGAATGCCTCATAAATCGGTAATTAAATTAAAAACTTAATATTTTTACTACCCACCCAGTATACGAGTTAATCCACACTAGAGTTAACCGCCTAAAGCCGCCCATTTTCCGGCATAACCAGCGAGATCTTGACTTTCATTCATTATTACCCAGATTCTTTGCTTTTTTTTGGCCTGCAGTCTGTCTTTGGCGGATCGAAGCCGCAGTAAACGTTTTGCGGTTTTTCGATATGGAGGCAAATCGCTTTTCAGGCACGTTTTTTCAACAAGTTTTCTCCTGAACATAGACCTTTGTCTCAGCGGAAAATTTTTGAAATTAATTTGCACATTTTGCATATCAACTTTGTGCCCCGGTGATCTCACAGCGACCGCTCTAATTATGAAGTGTTAAAGAGGCGTAAATGTAATTGCTGCCAACTGCAGTCGGCCGAGAAATGCAGAAGTATCTTGTAATTATATATTTATCCTCTAAATAATTTGCGGTTTATAGCGCGTGTTTTCATTTTGACCGATTGTTTTGGCCTTTCAAAGGCTACAGACTGGTCTTGTTTTTATATTGATCGGCTTCTTGGAATTAAATTTGTCGTTTGTTTTAATAAATATATGTTAATTGTCATAATTATGACAATCAACTTGGATTTAGTATCGGCGCTTTCAGATCTGCCTCTAAAACTCCTGGGTCATATAGCACCTTTGGCGCTCTGTTATTGCTATATCCTTGGAATATATTTAAGTTTTAAACTAATTTAACTGCCAATCAGCAAAACGAAGGTTTTAACTATTAACATCAATTTTCATATTTGGAGCAAATTCTAGTCAAGTAATTAGATTAGATAATTCAGGAGAAATCAACAATTTTGTTTGCATAATTATTTATTTTTTAATAAAGGAAACCCTTTTCTGTCATGAAAAAAATACACATTTAGGTATTAATTCTCCTTTTCTTGCCACTTTTTTTTACAGTGTCAAACTTGGGAGTCTGACAACAAACAGAGCTCGGAGAAATACAAAATAGAATAGGTTTGGGCCCAAACATCGAGGAGTAGCACGCGCAGGCACCAAAACAAGTTCGGCAAACCAAGCGATCTAAGTGCTAACTGAACGTAAAAATAAAGCTTAGCCGCAACTTTCAGTCGGCCGCTCGGCGGGCGCCGGAAAACTTTAAAAACTCGCCGGCCACTGGGCCGTAAACTTATTTCCCATCTGAGCTTGGAGCTGAGCACAACCCTCATCCTGACGAAATCACCAGTAGCAGTGGCCATGAAGTGCACTTTGCTAACCACCGTAAGTAGAGATCTTAAAATGGATTTAAGATAGTAATGGGAATTCTTATTGATATAATTTCAAAATCACAGTGGTTAATCTAATCATCTAATCATTATTTAACCCTTTACACTTCTACTATTTTAGTTGCTGGCGACCCTGGCGGTTTCCTCGTTGGCTGCACCTTTCGATTTGGGTGATCTCTTCACGGGTTTGGAGCCAGTGCAGAAACAGGAAGTAGTTAAGCGGCAAGTGGAGGCTAATCCTGATGCCGAGGTGAAGCAGATCTCATTCCATGGCCTGATCGGAGATCTGGAGGACAGTCTGTTCCAATCTGCCCTGAGCCTGCACCAGGCCAGTGCCCCAGGAAGCGTGGTGGAGGAGGTGAAGCCTGAATCTCAGGCTCAGATCACGGAGGATGTGGAGCATGCTCTGACTAAGCGATCGGATGAATCCACGCCGGCCACAGATTCCGTCACGTCTACGGACGATGGTTTGGCCCGCAAGATTCTGCTGCAGACCACCAGGAAGGTGCCCGATAGTGAGGATGGTGTACCCGCCCATCTGATCATTGACCATGTGTCTGTGCAACCACACAACGGTGGCGCCCTGCCCCTGATTCCCACCTTCCAGGTGCACCACACCAAGCTGATCTCTGCCACCATTAAGGAGGATTCCACTAACGACAGCAGCGATGGAAAGCAGACCAAGATTAGCATTACCAAGACCTCGATTACGTCCACGGCACCAATTGAGAGTGTGGAGGAGGCGTTGGCTATTGCTGGCTCTACAAGCACCACAGAGGAGCAGTCTACCAAGGTGGAGACCACCACCAAAGCTGCTGAGAAGGAGGAGAGTGATAAGAGCTCGACCACCGTATTGACCCTTGTGAGCAGCACCACATCGACCACAGAAGAGCCCATCCAGAAGCTAAAGAAGGACGAAGAGAAACTCAAGGAGAAGGTGGCCGAGGTAGAGGCCGATCCCGTCATCCTCTCGGCTCGCGTTTAAGTCGGCCGAACTCTGAACCCTCTAGTTGTAACCCTCATCCCCAACTCATCTCGCCACTCACATATTTATGACACGCCAAGTTCAATTAAAGTCATGTGATCAGATCAGATACGAAGCTTCTTTATTTGCATTTCCAATTCACACGGCGCGGGAAGTGATGAGCTGGTGGACGGGGCTCTGGCTACCCGGCGATCTCTGCCAAATTTGAGGCTCTAATTGCTCGAATAAACACAGGCCTTAATGAAGCTAGCGGTTCAACCAGGCATGAACGATTCATCTGAAACCTTCCCAGAATCTCCGGTGGGAAAAACCTGACATCGATATGCAAATATTTCTGTGCAAAGCAAATAATACAATCTGTATACTCATATGTTCTCTCGAAACGTGTTGCAAATGTTGGCTTCAATTGGGTTAATTAAATATTGCCAAATTGTCGAGGGCTGAACTATCCAATCGATGTGTTTATATTTGGCCCAAAGTGTTAATCAGCCCCATTGCTCGTTGACCAAAAGCATTAGTCAACAAATTGCGAATCAATTGTTTGCATTTTGATTATAAAAATGTGGAGAAAGCGGCATGTGCTTTAATTTGCTTTTGATAAGGTTAACTTCCTAAACAAATTATATAGGTCGTACTTTTCAAATCAACGACCTTATAAGCTTATAAACCATGGGGATAATATTCTGATAATATTCTTTTTTTTAACCATTATATGCAGAAAATTGTAAAACGAAATATTAAAACAATTAAAGGTGTGAGAATATTTCCTACAATAATTTGTTTATTGGTATTTACTTAATTTATAGCTGGATGTTTGGCAAAAAGGGATTGTTTTTGCCATTTATCAATGATTTTTTTTATGTTTATTAAGTGAAGTGCGACTTAACTTTATTATAATTCTAAAAATAAAACTGCTTGAATATTCATAGCTCACTGAGAAGGGATCTCTTAATGTAATTCAATTTAAATTGTGAATTATGAAGGTTTACGCCCAGCAGGTAGTAAATATAATGGTTGATTCAAATGTACTTTCAGGTGTGAATTAAATCGAATGGCTAACCTCTTCAGTAGCAGAATGAGCAAACATCGTATATCAAAACAATTACCTGGGGGTTGTAAACATTTTTTGTAGTTCCCTAGGTGTGTTATGAATCATACCCGATAAAGAAATCCCCTGCACCCGCAATCAATCACTTACAACTTATAAAGACGATAGTCTCGAGTACACGAGCCAAAAAGCTGAGTGTCAGAATGTCGAGTATACGCAGCGTGAGCGTGAAAATTGATAAGACAAGTAAATTGGCGATCGCCATCAGCTGTGAGTTTAAATTTAGTTCCTGCTAACTGACATGTTCCTTTATTTGTTTACCCATCTGGGGGCAGGTTTGCCTATATTTGCCTTCTGTTATATCTATGTTTTCCGAGTGATAAAGCAAAAAGCTCGCTGATAACACATTCAATTTGTATTACAAAATCAGCAAAATATTTGCACTCTGCTATTGTGCAACTGGGGGGCGCAATATGTGGTGGTAGTCACCCACCGATCCATGCTGGCTGCTTTTGATAACAGGTGTAACCCTTAAAATTTCATTAGGTTTATCTTATCGCTTTGGAAGAGCGGAGCATTTGGAGACCCAGAGTCGATGGCCATTCGATGGAAGAGCTCAGTCCAAAGGAGGCAGCCGGCGAATGCGTTTCGCCATCCATTTTTTACCGCTGAAAAACTCCGCGAGTTGAGTTCCATCGTTCAGATAACGATTTGTGATTTCGTGTGAGTGTTTCCGTTTCTGTTTCTATTGTTTATGGCCAACCTTGCGTATACTTTATTGAAGTGACGAAAACGTATTTTCCTTCTGTGATTCATCGAATTGTTAGAGATTAGACAATTGTCCTTAAGTATATTGAGAAAATGGCCCATGAAATGATTGAGCTCTCCTGATTCGATATGCAAAATCCCCAGAAAACTAATCAAGCTGATTAGATATCTCTCGAATTGACGAATTGTAATTTCAAATTGAATTTATAGCTCCAAAGCGTGCGTTGTCTTATCGAGAAGGCAATTGGCTGTCTCAGCGATCACAGGTTGCACAACCCATTAACCGGAATACCCCGCCGAAGGAATAAGAGACCCTCATCAAGATGGCGAGCATGGGCACTGGCTTCTCCAAGTGCTTTATACTCTTCATGGCGATTGTCATACTCGTGAGTGTCATAAAGATTATTCAACATTCCTTTTGAAATAGTCAGTAATTCGATCGAAATTTGTTCTAGGCTCAGGGAGTCATCTATTTGGGCTTGTCTATCTGGGGCATCACCTTCAGGGAATGCCCGGATGGGGTTACTGACTTCAGCATAAATCCCTTCAAGTATGCTATGGAACTTATCTATTTTGCAGGTAAGGAAATACCTATATCTCTACATGATATCAAAAGGTTACCTCTAACTAATCAATTTCGTTGCAGAGGAGGAATGTGGTGATCCGGTGCTGAAGGTAAATGACAACCAAATTGATTTGACCATGGATTGGACCATCTCCTACGCCATAACCAACAGGGAGTTTATCTTCATGATAACCTATGCGGTGATCAGTGGGCTTTGGGTTGCCACTTCGACGTTGGTCATTAGTGAGTATCTCAAAAAAGATTTCAATGCGAATATTAACTGAAGATTCATTGCAGCCACATTGTGCAATCGCACAACGAAGCTGATCTCCGGAGTAGTCTACTGGCCCTGGTTTTTGTCAGTACTCGCCGGAAGTATCCTCGATGTGGTGGCCTCAGTGTATCACGGATTAGACATAAGTCATACAACGGTGAAAAAAATTAATTCTAATATATATAGTAATAGATAATAATTTTTTTTCTTTCTTTAGTCCATTGAAGCTGCGTTTACTTACATTGGAGTAAAGAACACTGATTTTACCAGTAACATTTGGAGTGTGCTGGAGCAGTTTGGAGTCTACTTCTCGACGCCTTCGATTGTTCTACTGTGCCTCACCAGTCGCGTGGCCATCATCTGGCTGCTGAACATCATTGGAGTCAGTTTCTGTCTTTCGTTGTCCGGAATCATGGCGAAACAGAATGCTGCAGCTGCCGCGTTGAGCAGGAGCCAGGCACCGACCCGTCAGCCAACTCCTCAGCCTGTGGTTGCGCCAGTCCAACCGGTGGTGCAGGCCACTCTGGTGGAGGCTCCCCAACCTTCGGCTCCTCTTGAGAGCCCCCAGTATCCGGACCAGATCCGACCCAAACCGCTGCCTATTTTCATTCCTGCAGAGCAGAATCTCCAGCGTCAGGACTCCCGGCAGTTTGCACCCGGAGATCGTACGACTCTGCAGTCGCCGGTAATGGTGCTTCCGCCCCAAGTGCCACAACAAAGGGATGTTGTCTCCCCGCAGCCAGACATCAACACTTATCGCACCACCGAGGCCCATCCTGATCATCTTAACTATCCGCCCTCGGAGCCACCCACTCCACGGTCTCCCTCGCCGGCTGTTCAACAACTTGCAGTAAATTCGCCACTAAACAATCGCTACAGCGATATGTATCCACCACCAGCTAATCCACGTGTCAGCGAGGAACTGCGCAACCAGATGCCCTGGTCTTACACCAGCATGGTGACCAAGCCCCCACCACCGCCACGCAAGCCGCAACTCCAAGTTCAGATCTACCCGCAGATTCCGGAACCCGACTATGCGGAACACTAGTAAATATGGTTGTAGAAGCAGCTCGGAGCTGATTAGGGTTTAATCAGTCTGGAAGCGCGGTTGTGAAAAGTTGTGTGTTATTGTTAACTTTATTCCATAAAGCTAAAGCTGATGGCCAACTGATCGACTTATACTTTCATCATTTTCCCGGATAAATCTTCCATTTAAAAGAACCTTCTTATGATGGTTATGTTCCGCCACAAGATTCAGGGCTTCACTTAGATCCAACTCAAGTTTTTCACCATTACTGAGGTGTACTTCTAGCCTGGGGGAATCCTGCTGTACTGACTTGGCTCCTACTACAATGGTGAGCGGATGTCCCAGGCGTTTGCCTTCTAGCAAACGTTTGCCTATTGTCAGGTCCTTGCGATCGTCATGCAGAAGCTCTTCGTGACCACAAATATCTCCTATAGTTTGAAGCAGTTCGTTTTCTATCACCTCTGCAGCCGGCTGTTCTTTGCTGCCTTGCTTGGGTCCTATTAAACAAACATCGTAAGGTGCCAGGAGCCTCGGCCAATGTAGTTCTTGGTCGGAGGAAAGTACCTCCAAAGCTGCAGCAATGACTCTGGTGATGCCAATGCCATAGCAGCCCATTACTAGCGATTGTGGTTTGCCGGAGGTGTTGAGGAAGGTTGCTCCCAAAGGCTTAGAGTACCTGTCTCCCAACAAGAAGGTGTGGGCCACCTCAACCCCTCGAACTTCTTTTAAATCGGAGCTTTTACAGCTTGGACAGCAAGCGGTGGATTGTGGATCGGTCTCCAGGACTTCAGAGTTGCCAGCAAAGCCGCAGGAGCTGCACTGCAAGAGGGTGTCCTCGCCCACAGGCGAGACGTAGTGGTATTCATGGGATACACTGCCACCCATCATGCCAGTTGCCGCATTTACTAAAAAATTAACTAGATTAATATCGGAATTTCTTTTTCTAAATGTTGTTTACCTACCCTTAACAAAAGGAACGTCCAGTTGTTTAAACAACCTATCATAGGCCGCACTAACTACGGAATAGGTTTCCCTAGCTGTTTCTTCGGATACATCAAAGGAGTACATGTCCTTCATCAGGAACTCCTTGGCTCTCATCAAGCCGAAACGAGTCTTTAGCTCATCCCGGAACTTGGGACCTATTTGGTACAGCCTCAAGGGCAGCTGGCGATAAGAAATCGGTGAGGTGGTGGCCAGCATAGCAGTTACTGCCTCCTCGTGGGTCTAAATGCAAAAATTTGATTACATTCGAATCGCGAATTAGGATATGTGCTCACTCACTCACTGGACTCATGAGAAATTGCTTGCCACTACGATCCCGAACCATGTAGAACTCTGAGATGTCTCCTTCGAGTCGTCCCGTCTTCTTCCAAAGACCTGTGGGCGTCAGGACTGGCAGGGCGATCTTCTGTCCTCCAGCCAGCTGCATGTTGCTTTGCACCAGGTTGATAAACTTGTCCACCGATCGTTGGGCCATGGGCATTATTTGGTAAGTGCCATTGCTGCCTGATTTAATCAATCCAAGATCTGTCAGGAGCTGAAAAATGTATATGATTTCATTGACAACTTCTTTCGTAACAACACCATAGAAAGGAATACCACCTTTTGACTGCGTGACAGTTGCTCCGTTTGCTTGACCACCGCATTCTTCGGTGTAATAAGAGCCGGACAGAAAAGTCGCGAGGCTTTATTCATGATTTATTTTATTTAGTTAACTCCTTTTTATTTCATAAAATTGCCGGTGAATAAATGCAAAACAACAAATGCAAATTTCCAATGTGACCAGAGATGCATATAATAAATATTACTGCAAAATATGATACAGTGCCCACCCATGGAAGTGAATCAGTTATGCATAGCATTTTAGTCAACAGGTTTTACATTGTCAATCTTAACTGTTATTGTTTGAATAAAAATAGCATAACTCGTATATCTTTTCTAATATGGTCGTATATCTTCTCTGTTTAATTTTAGTAAAAGTAAATTTCCTAAGGTTTTTGAGTTTCACCATCTGGTAACACTTTTCAGCCGGCCTTTATTATTTTTAATAACCTCGCATTAAAATGAACTCGAGTTTTCAGAACTTGTACAAAAAGAGCCTAGATATGGGCGAGCAGCAAAAGCAGCGCCAGAAGGATCTCCTAAAGCAACAGAAGCTGCGTCGGCAGCAGGAGCAGGATGACTCACGACCTCTGCAAAACCCCGGCAAAAGGCCGCCAAAAAAGAAGAACTGGAAACGAACTGGGCACCAGAAAGGAATCCACTACCGGCCACAACTTTCAGAGTGGTTACGCCACAAACCCGAGGATCTAAGCGAGTGGCTCCTGGTTCCTTGTCCGGTAGGCAAAAGGTGCCTCGTGGTTGCCAGCAATGGAATCACAAAAGCATACTCCAAAAATGGCTGGATGTTCATGAGTCTTCAATCTTCCCTGCCTGGCGATAGGCAACATCAAAAGAGTCAAACAATCCTGGACTGTGTCTATGTAGAAGATGAGGATACCTTTTATGTTTTGGATGCAATTTCGTTTGGCCAGCAGGATTTGCAAGAGTGTGAAGCATCCTTCCGCTTCTATTGGCTGCGCGCCCGTTTCGAGGAGAATGATTTTGCCAAGGTTGGGGATCACAACGAAAAGTCATTTGTGCTTCTTGATCACGTCGACTTCGAGAACACCTCTGCTGTTGAGAAAGTTCTGCACCAGTACCCTTTATTTCCTGAAAACAAGCCAGCCCTTGATGGATTTCTTTTTTACCATAAAGAAGCTAGTTATGTGTGCCAAACAACTCCCTTAGTTTGCTGGCTGTTTCCTTTTATGATGATGGATGTTCTTGGATTGCCCGTGAGTAACAGCTATACGGCTCCTGAGGATTATCAACATGGCCAGGCACTGAAATACATGAATGAGTTTGATCGCAAACTGGCAGAGCACAGAAAACAACTTAAGGAGCAGAAAAAAGCTGACAAAATGCACGAGAAAAGGCAAACCGCAATGGAGGCAGAGGAAGGCACTAACAGCGATGAGTACGCCAGTCTTAAAGAAATACTCGATTATCAGCGGCGTTTAGAACTTGGGGAGTTGGACATGGACTGTGCGGAGCCGCCATCAGCTGATGCCTGTTAGGCTTAATGGGCGGTGGTGTGGGGGTGGCTTTCTTGCGCAGGCGCTCTGAATACGCGGCCCTGGACAAACAGCCTCAGCTCGCGCCCAGGAAAACCAGCCCAGATTGCGGCCAGCCCATCATCAACGAGAATTATAAATATTGTTTAAAGAAAAATTTAACAAATATGGTCATTCAGCGAAGTTGGAAAATTCCCACTGATGTGGGGGGTTCATTGAACAGCAACACCACATCAACTAACGAAGTGCAACAGCGTTCTTCTCCGGGTATGCAGCTGCAGGCAGCCAACTCTTCTTCAGATGACTCGGATTGCTCAAATCAAACCACTCATTCGATGGATACACGGGTGGCCAGTCCTGTTGAGGGTGTAAGAAAACAGGCCGAGAAGGATGCGGCAACAGAAAGCAGCACAATTACCTTGTCTCTGCTGGGCGAGTCCACATCTTCGGATGCAGAGTCAACACAGGTATATATGAGTTTATAAGCTATTCAAGCATAAAGGTAATACTTTGTAACCTTCAGAAGTATGTAACCACTCCAGACATGGCGGAAAACATGTTGCAACGAATTCGACAACGGTTGGGTGGCTCTCACAACTTGGAAAGTAGCGGCAGTGCAGAGTCCGCCATGAGAGCTCTGGAACTTCTGAGAATCACTGTACAGCAAGCCTTCGATGCGGAGGTCAACGAAATAATCAAACGCTACATGCAAGTAGGTTACATTCCCTATTAAATGCTATTCTTTTCTAAAACTGACTTTCCTAATATGAACCAGAACTACTTTAAACCCGCTTTTGGTAACATTAAGGAAAATCTTGGCCAGCATTCAGTTAATGAGGAGACGCTGCAGAAGATGTCATCCTGTGCTTTGTTGGAAAATGCTAAGGCTCAGTACACAAACTTTGTTCGGCAGCATCGTTTGGTGGCTGGCGCCACGGAGCAGCAGCGTTTGGCCCTTAAACGTACAGCTAAGCAAGAGATTAACCCAGTTAGCAAGGTCTTTGCTGGTAACACGGGCTTCGTGGCCACTAAACCCATGCCTTGCACGGCGACAACGGCCAACCAGTTGCCAATCGCGAACCAACAACCAGCTGCTCAGCCTGTCCTGCTCCAGCAACCGGAGTTGCAAGCAGTACAGCCTCTGCAGCAACAGCAGGAACAAACGCAATCCCAAAATACACAGCAACAACAGCATCGCAATACGGTTACTCCATTGGTGGGCGGCACTCTGCCCACTCCAGTTCGCCGTCAGATATTCTGGAACACTGCGCAAATCTCGACAACCACTAAGTTCGTGCTGGATGTGCAGGCCAACCTGGCATTTGGTTTTGGTACCGATGGCAAGGAACGTCTGGCCAGCAAGCATCCTGAATTGATACGCTACCTTCCGGATGGAGAGGACAGAGAATGGCTGGCCACTCGAGGCATTATTCCCGCGGAAAATCGCAGCTCGCGGTTCTTGTTTCTCATTTACGATGAAGTTTGCCGACTTCAGCAAACACACGAGCTATATCGCCACAAAACTAACATTGATCTAAGCATGATGCTCACCTTTAGCGTTACCGATGCCATGATACACAAGATGCGACTGTTTTTCGTGGATCTGAATATCAAGAGCCGCGGACTTATAACGAACTCGTATATTATGCCTAGTCAGCAGCAGTCGGGAAATGCCAATAACAGTCACCTAAGGAATGCCCTGCTTCAGGGCGCATCATCCCAACAGCAGCAGCAACAACAGATAGCCACGCCCCCAACTGAGGATGCGGTGCTGAAGGAAATCCCTGCAGCATCACCCACTCCTTGTTTGCAGGGTCAGGTTGTGGGCAGCACAACAACGCCGCTAAAGTCCAAGCTTGCTGCCAGTTCCACGCTTAGCTCCTCGCATGCCACACTGACCGCTTTGCTGAACAATGGAGGAGTTGTTGTGGGATCAGCTCCTGCGGGCAGTTCCGCTCCAAGCACAATGGGGAAATTTCGAAATTAAATCAAGTAAATTAGATACTGTAATTACATTTATTTGGCCTGTTAGATACCATTTAGGAAAGTTGTATTTTAATTTTCTGTATATTTAAATATAAGAACAACCGAAATCTTGTAGCACAGAACCATTTGTATAGATTTTCCAAAGACGGAGTCGTGGAGATCCTTAACTTAACCATCAGTTATAATAAAAAACTTCTCGAATAATAGACAACTTCAAATAAATATTTGATGTTTATTGAAACTCAATTTGATATACATATAGTGTGGGTCTCTTTTTGTTTTTCTACAGTTATTTTAGGTATAATAATATATATATATAATGTGTACGTTCATATTCATATAGTTCACATCTGTGTATATTGTTTTACATTGTGTACGCAGGTAATTGCTAAGTTATTTTTTAACAAGTAGTAGATTTGTATTCTTATAAGCCTTGCTACAGCCCACTCGGCACTTTTGAAGCGCAATCCTCCCCAGATTCCAGCCCAACGCTACACGCTGATATGGTGTTATTTTTACAGTTTTCTTTCATCAAAGTACTCGATACCAACTTCTGGCTAAGTACAATCAATAAGTAATAGTAGTCGTAGTATTAGAGTTAGTAGAAAAGACCAAAATTACCTAAGAGTAGTTGATAGCAGCTCACTTTGCCGATTAAATAGCTCCATCGACTGTCGGAACATTAGTAAGTACGTAGTTTTAATTTTGAGATAGCACAACCATTTTAGTTTTCGTTACCCAACTAGGTATATAAAACAACAGCCAGATTGTGAAGAGTAATTAGCCAACCGAAAAAAAACAGGAATATCTTTGTGTGTTCCACTTTTACCCTGACTACCTTGACAACTAACAAGTACTTACAAGATACAACAATGGATTATCTGGTACTAAGTATTTTCTTCTTTGGGTTTTTAAAGCAACATCTAACAATAAGAAAAGCCCGCAACTGCCCTTGAAACAGATACAGATACAGGTATACAGATATACATATAGTTGCTGTTACGGTTAAAGAGTCGTTAAGTTTCGCCAAGAAATGGTTTGAGCTTGAGGACATTTTAGCTACCGTAACTAACGTTAAAAGTGTTAGGGACAGTAAAAGTTCCACAATGTCCTTGCAGCTTAAGTACGCTACGTAAAACGACTCAAGGTGTAAGCTTTGTATAAATAAATCTATATGTGTTTGTAACTTTAGTTTGAAACTCCAAGTCGTTAGGCTGAACGCTGATTAGATATTAGATTTATACACAGCTTCCGAAAATGTAAATTTTTCACTTTTTGTTTCATTACACGAGATTGTCCTGTTTGTGAGGCTGAAATGTCTGGAGAGTTTGAAGAGCGGGGTCAAATGGGAAAAACAGGAAGAGGGGGATGTCTTTAATCTGCCGCGTTGCAATCGATGCCCTACCATAAAATGACTACAGTAAATTCGTCTTAATCACTCTTTAATCGCACTCACTTCTCCCACCCCCACACTAGCACACACACCCATAAAGATTGTCGATTTAAACTAGATTCTTTTCGTTCGAAGTTTTGAGTTTTGGAATTATCAAAGATTATATAAGTAGATCTTCAGTTGTCAGATTTTTGTGGAGCAGTTGAAACCTTGGCGGGGTTGTCAGCTTTACAGATAGTTGGGGCTAGCCTATTTGGTTTTTGGTTTTTGTCTGCGCAACATTTAATTAACACTTATTCGGATATACGCCTCTTGTCAGCTGCCGAGCTTTAAATCCCTCTCCGTGGGGTGAGTGGGTGTCCTCACCCACTTCGTTGCCTTGAAATTTCAACATTATTGTTTTGGTGCCCGTTTCGTTTCCATTCTTCACGTCCCACGTCCATTCAAATGCGAACAACATTAAATTTTCACAAACACAACAAGCAAAAATATATAAACGCGTGTACATCTATGCTTCTGGTACTCCGATTCCTCAATTATTGTGCTGTCTGATATTGGTGTTCCCCACTTAAGGTGCTGCCCTACCTGTGTACCTTACTTACAAAGCTCTCTCACCACGAATATTAGTATTTTATTTAGTGTATCATAACCCATAACCCAACCGATTCCACCTGCCAGCCCGTGCTAAGCTCATTTAACTATAACTAATACATACAGGGGACGTAATACTTCTATGGGGATTATCTGCATATCTCGGGTTAACAATTTATATATTTATATGTGGTGTCCAAATCTTAGGCGCTAACAAATTGAGCTTGCAGTGGCATTATTTCCGATTCCAGTGGACTTCGGCACTGCCTGTGGACTGCGATTGCTGGGTTGTTCGGTCAGGGAGAGTTGTCCGAATCGGAGCCTCCATAACTGTGCATCGGGAAGAGCGGATACCACCCGTTGATAGGCTGTCCGATGCTCACCTTGTCCAGGTTCACCTCCGTGCCGCCCAATCCTTGGTTGTGCTCGAATCCCACGCACCGCTGCCACACCATGATGACAATGTTCCGTCCAAAGACGTCCGAGCTCTGTATTTGCATGGAAATTCGTTATCGTTATGCGTTATTCGTTTGGGTAATTACACGGCTTCCAATAAAAATATGGCGCGTGCCCAACGGGGAGCATCCACCTGTGACAAGTTAACCCTCTGTATACCCAAGGAACCTTGGGGACTGAACAAAATGTTCAACAAAAAGCAAAATTAATTTAAATTTAATACAAATATTTTAAAATATTTCAATCTTTAAAAAAAACTTTAAAGAATGATTTCATGTGACTATAAATTTCAGATTGAACATAATTTATGTGACTAAAAGATTCCTTTGGCTCCTTATAGGAGTATCTGGGTATACAGAGGGTTAAGGCTGGGCCATCTGCTAGCCACCCGCTGGGCGCGGAAATTGGCCTCGTCGATGCGGTCCGGCCAGCAGCCATTAATCGCATTACAATGCAGGCAGGAGGTAATAACATCCTGACGTGGCCATGGTCAGCATCGGGATGGTGTTATGCTAGCATCATCGTCATCATCATCATCATCGTCACCTGCCAGGTGTTACAACAATGGGCCATTTGCTCACCTGGTACTTAATGGTTTGGCGGTAGAGGGGCTCCGCCGCATGGCGCACGACGCGCGTCTTCTTCTTGTGGCGCAGGCGGTCTCCGTCCTTGATGTAGCACTTCACGTACGTATCCGGCGGAGTTTCGCAGTCCTCGTTGACAATGTTACGGGCGCAGATTAGCTGAAAACGAGGTATAGTAAAAGGGACAATAAAATATGTGTATATAATAGCAAGTCCAAGGGATCCATAAGAAGAGACTCCCTGCTCATAACACAAAAATTCCCATTTTAATAACTTGTCCTTGTAAGTAAGTGTCCTTAAAATATGTTCTCAATTTGAAAGTAGTATTAAAAATTTAATTTATCTTTTAATTTTTAGAATTTACTTACCTCCACCTCCACATTGCCCTTGATCTTGAGGAATCCCATCTTTAGCTCCCCGTACCTCGCCGTGGTCAGCCGATAGCCCTTGGGATGGATCTGCGAGGGTCCAAGTTTGAGGCCATAACTAGATTCCCCACCCGTGATGGTGGACGTGTTGACATAGCTGCCACTTAGGGTCTTTACCACGCTCTGCTTCCGCTGCGGACTATCTGGTCCAGGGTTCTCTACACCCAGCCCGATGCTGCTCCTCTGATAGACACTACCCTTGCGAGTGGGCGTGCCTAAGGGCGGGGTTTCGGTGACCTTCGCCACATACATGCTGCCCTTCCTCTGCAGCGTAGTGGTGGTAGTGGGTGGAGCCTGGGATTCCCCCAACTGGAACATGCTGCTCTTGCGCTGCTGCAATTGGTTGGTGGCCAGCAGTTGACTCTGCCGACTCGAGTCCTGGGCCACATTCGACACCGAGGCGGCCTGTTTGAGCCGGGAAAGCACCTGCTTGGGACTCTGTGGTGGCAACTGGTTTCCTGATCCCTTCCAGCGCGGTCTGTAGCGCTTATCCTCGTCCTCGGATGGCGGACTGGTGTCGGCATTGCCTACTCCCATGGGCAAGTGCTGTTGCAAGTACTGTTGCTGCTGCAACTGTAACTGCTGGAGCTGCTGCAATTGCTGCTGCTGCTGCTGCGACAAGTCCAAGACGGAACTCTTGCGGCTATTCGGTCCGCTCGGCAATCCAACGCGACTGGCACCTGTTCAGGTGAAAATCAGAAGTTAGTGCACATCCCTACGCATTCTTACGCGCTTTTGAACTCAACTCAAAGTTTCAAGTATTACTGGCAGTGATGGGTTAACTACCATTTACTATATGTCTACCTATGTAGAGGGTACAGGCAAACTACAGAAAAGGATATCTTGCTACGGTCAAAGGTCATAATGAACGCCTTTCGTAGGGCATAGAATGAATGGTGTTATAAAGGACTAAGGACTAGGACTAAGACAAGAAATAGGCGAAAGCTACATCGAACAAAGCATGCAGATCAACGACATTAAAATCAGTAGTCATTTTTAAAATTTTTGATATTTCACAATGTTTTTAGACAAATTGGTATCGTTTATACAGTAAGTTTCAAGATGCCGGTAATGGACGTGGACACTGCCCTTCAGACTATCGGTAAAACGATATAGCAATACGATTCGAAATATCTATTTCCAAAGATCTCCATCAGGTTATGGGTTTGGCCAGGTGATAATTTTCATCGTTTGCTTCTTCACGTACATGTACTCCGTATCCGAAGCCATGAGTGTGTCCTATATCGTGGTGCTGACGTCATGCGAGTTTGCGACGACCGCAGGTGAGAAGACTCTATTGGCTAACTCCCTGTTGGGTGGAATGGTTGCCTCCGGACTGTTCGTTGGCATGCTGGCGGATAAGTATGGCCGGAAGTTCACGCTCCGGCTAGCATTAATAGGAGCATTGGGCTTCTCAATGCTATCCGCTTTGATGCCAAACCTTTATGCATTGTCGATAACACGGATGATTGTGGGACTTTTGTATGTAGCCTGATTCCTGAGTGCAAAATGCAATTTGTTTAACAATTAATAAATTTCTTCGTCAGCCTCTCCGCAGTTGCCTCCTTACAAGTGGCCTTTCTGACGGAGTTTCATACACCCAAATGGCGGCCACTCGCGGTCACCCTATGCAGCCAATCGCAGAGCATGGCTTTGATATACTGTCCACTGGTGGCCATGGCCATCTTGCCCCACCACTTCACCGTTACTCTTAGCAGTCAATTTGATATGCGCCCCTGGCGGTTTCTGATGATGGCCGTGGAGATTCCCGGCTGGATAGCTCTTGTGGGTATCTGTCTTGTGCCCGAGACTCCGTATTTTCTCTTGTCCATCAATAATGGGGAAAAGGCCATCTTGGCCCTGAAATGGATATGCCGGAAGAACAGAAAAAACTGGGAGGACTTCGACATTATTTTGGCCGAAAATGAAAGAGCCACGGTCGTACCGGAGGGATTCTTTAGTAGCTTTTTGTATGATAGTTTCCGCCTCTTCAGGAAGCCTTATTTCACCAAATTTTTCATTTGTCTGATGCTCATTTTTGGACTATTCTTCAAGTAAGTGGTATTAGTCTACACTCCTAAGTTAAGATAACCCCTAAGGAAAATATTAACTGACATTAAAGCTGGTTATCTCACATACAGCTCCGTTGGCATGGGCATATGGTTTCCAGTTATCCGCAACATGGACAATAGCGTCTCTCTACGGCTGTGTGACCTCATCAAACGTAATCCACAATTTGCGAGTTCCAAGGAAAAGCTTGTCAATGGCACGGAAACGGAGGTGCCGCCAACGTGCCACGATGTGATGACTAACCTGATTGATCCCATCTACTATGGCTTTTCCTACATGGGATGTTATATTCTGTCGACTATTTTGTTGCAGTGCCTTCTCCGGAAGTATGTGATCGCGACCCACATCATAGTGGCCTTCGTCTTGGGATTGGGGCTAAATGTTGTGAAACAACCTACTATGTTGCTGATCTCCTACACCCTCATGATAACTTTACCAGGGGTCCTCATCCCGCTGTCCACGTCGGTGTTAATCGACTTTCTTCCCACTCATTTGCGAGGAAAGGCAATCTGCTTAGTCAGATCCATTGCGCGGTTTGGAGCCCTGCTGGGCAGCACTTTGGTTGGGATGTTGTTAAAGGTCTCCTGTGATCTAACCTTGAACATATTCATTCTATACCTGGCTGTTTGTATCGTTTTGGCCCTCCTTCTACCCGAATAGAGGCTCGCAGAGTTGAAGACAATATTCATTTTTACTGTGCTTTGTCTATATATAAATACAATTGGAAGATATGAAAGCCGTTTGCCTAGCAATCCATATTTTTGTTTCAACTTTTATAAATTAGTTGATATAAATAGGGTCAACATTTGGTTTTGTTTAAATTATAGTTGAAAAAATGATTCAAAAGAACGCCGACGATGAGTGACATAGATGATTTGTTTGAGAATCTGGGTAAGGCTTGTTCATATGGGGAGGTTATTACTTCTTGATCCTTGTGGTCCATAGGCTTCGGAAAGATGCAGTACATCATTTCATTTTGCTGCTTTACCCTGCAGCTGTGGATAACCAACGAGCAGCTGGGCTTTGGAGTAGTGGTAGCAGGAGCAACTTGTGAGCTGCATATCGATGATGAGCGGCTAGCCTGGCTAATGGCGGGAAACTTTGCCGCCCAAATGATATCTTGCTATGTATGGGGCGAACTCTCTGATGCGTACGGAAGACGCAAAATAATTTTGTCTGCGGCGACGACAGCAAACTGTTTGTCCATACTTTCGGCTTGTATGCCCGAATATTGGAGCTTCTTAGCTGTACGAACTATGGCGGGATTGTTGTAAGTAGAGAGGACTTTCCCTATCTAACTTCTGTTAACAGTGATCCTTTCTCCTTCGTCTCAAAGTATTTCGGGTGCAGTGGTTTGTGTTATGACCTACTTGGGCGAGTTCACAAAGATTACCCTGCGCCCCACAGTGCTGAACTTCATGAGCTATGCCATTGGTATAAGTCTGATCTATGTGCCGTGTAAGAATATATTCATTACCCTCTACAGGTAAATAAATATTTCTTCTTTTCGTTAGCTTTGGCCGGGGGTCTCCTTCCCTTGGAAATCGAGCCCAGGCCCTGGCGCATACTGCTTCTGAGCAACCAGTTGCCCGGAATCATCGGATTAACCATGCTTATCTTCTTGCCTGAGAGTCCCAAGTACTACTTGTCAGTCAGCGAGCAAGAGAAGGCGTTGAAGGTCATGGAAAGGGTCTGTCGGATGAACAAGGGCAAGGATGTAACTCTGGTTAGTATGGGAGTGAGCTCACTCTCACAGCTACGCATGCGCAACAAGTAAGCATTCGTGTTTAGATTGAGTTTCGGTTCCCAAATAATTTCCTTTTGGGGCAGGGCAGACAACCAACGCCGGTGGCACGATATCAAGGTCCTTTTTGCAAGACATGGCAAAATCATGTTATCTTTCTTGTTTGTGGTGTTTAGTTTGTCTGGACTGTGAGTTTTGATTAATTAATTTGATGATGATTTAATGAGTAAATCCTTCTGTTAGAGCGTTTTCATTGCCCTTCTGGATGCTACGAATCCGAGTGCTAACGGCTCATGAGAAAGAGCCCCAGACGATGTGTGATCTCTTGGATGGAAAGAGTAAAGAAGGAGGAAATCGAATGGTGCACAAGGTAAGTTCAGGTGTTTTAGTATGGGCCTAGAACTTCGAGATTGTTCCGTACAGTGCCACCTGGACTTTGATGAAATGCTGGATCCGATTATCCACGGGTGTGTCGTACTCAGCTTGTTTATCGTTACCAGTTTTCTTTTGATATTTCTTAATCGTCGAATGGTCATTTTTGTATATATTTTTATTCCCATTTTGGGCAGCTTTGCCTTGAACTTCAGCAAGCATCCTACCCTCATACTTATTAGTTTTTTTGCTCTTATGGACCCGCCCATGTGCAGCATCAGGCTGTGCCTTTCCTTGCTCATAGATCTCGTGCCCACCCATCTCAGGTAAGTCCCTTCCTGTTAGATATCGCTTTCTAAACTGTTTTCCAGGGGTAAAGCCATTGCTCTGACCGTTATGATGGGTCGCTGTGGTGTTTTGTCGGCCAGCTTGTATGTGGGTTATACCTTGCGGTACAACTGCTATGTTACCTTCAATCTCTTCATTGTTATGCTCATTAGTGAGTGTCATATTTGAAACTATATTTTTTTGATTATAAGCAAATCCTTTTAGTTTGTGGTATCCTGGTGTACTTCCTGCCCGAAGAGTACAGAATGAGAAGTATCGCGCAGTAGAGGTTTCTTGGAAATATAATAATAATATTGCGTAATTACTTGAAACTTTTGAAAAATGATGATGGGGCTCTCCCTATCTGCCCTGCCAATCAGACAATCAATCATTCAATCAATTGGGCGCACAGCGCGAAGTACAAATTTGATGCCTCCCTTGCGTCGGAAGACGGAAAAAGGATTATGGCGAAAGTTCAAATATTTTTGTGAACCAGCCAAAAATAAAATAAACGTCAAATAAACTTGGCGACAGCTGCGTTTATATAGTCTCTCGAGTGGGGTAATTTTTTTCGTATTTTTCTGGTGTGTTTGAGCCCAGCGGATATGAAAGTGCGTAAAAGGCAAAACGGAAACGGAAGGCAAGGCAATCGCTAAGCGGCTTAATAATAACTGTCGAGCAAGAAAATCGAACCGAAAGGAAAGGAAAATGAGAAGCGAAATGAGAAAACATATTGGCGAAGACATCCAACTTTTTGCTGAGCAGGCACAATAGCAGGGACACATCCTGGCAGCGGTGGTTCCCCAGTGAGAATGGAGCTGTCAATTCCTTATATATGGTACTATATACATGTACATATATCTCTAAGTATGTATGTAGAGAGGACTTTTCCCAGACAGAGACGCTGCTTATTTTCATATTTAACGGCTTGTTTGTGGCTCTGGGAAATGCGAGTTTCTGTTCAGCTTTGTTCTGTTATCGCATTTCATATTTATTTTTTTGGTGGCTTGTCTCTGTGAGCTTTCATATTTCGCATTTGCTTCGCTTGTGAAAAGTTAATTTCAAGGCTGAGCTATTTCGACGGGGCGTTGAAGGGTTTATGAGGGCGGCGAACTGTTGCGAAGCCAACAGGTAATAGGGGTTCCCAACCTCTATCCCTCCCTCTGAGCTTTGCATTTTAAACACAAATTTGTGCTCCGAGTTGCTGGCTTTTGTTCCCTCGAACTTTTTGTTGCCTTTTTTGGGCTGTGAAAATAGCATCAATAAGCTTAAATAAGCCCCAGACGAGAAGTTTCCATGTGTCCTGGGAGTCCTCCACTGGATTACCAAGAAGTACGTGAGCCTGGATGAGTGTGTAATGAGATTTCGGCTTTTTCGCAGCTCGCAGACATGCATGCGAGTGAGTATATAGAGTACAGAGTATAGACGGATACTACTAATTGTGTGTAAAAGTGGGCGTTAATTAAGTGGCATGCATGCAGCTAGCTGGAATCAAGGAATCCAGGTACTATATATATGGCGCTAATTAAGGTAGAAACCGAAGAAGAAGTCGAAGAAGGCAGGCTCAAACCAAAAACAAAATGCCAAACGCAACTCAATCTCAACTCAAGTTCATTTTGCATTCTTACCGGTGGTGGTGAGTGATGTTTTTGTTGGTGGTGGTGGTGTTCTAGTTTCTAGTGTAGTACATACTGTAGTTCTTGCTTTATTGCATTTTAGTTTTGGTTAAATTTAACTTGCTGCTAAGCTCAATTTGCAGGTATTCCTAGTTTCTTTTTGGTTTCTTGTATAATTTACAAAGGTTTTTAGGTATTTGGTTTAAAGTTTTCGGTATTTCTGTTTGCTGTTTTCGGTTTACTACCATTTGTGGTTGCTCTGGTGGTGCAGTGTGGTGGTTGATGGTTGGTGGCTCACTCGAGAGTGAGCCCTTTTCATTAGATTAAGCAAAAGAATTACGAGTGACTGACAGGTGCTGAAGGCTTTAAATAAGTGGCTTTAGTTAGTGCTTTATGCGTTAGTTTATTTGATTTTGGATTTGGATTTAATTGAATTCTGTGCGGTTCTTTTTTACTGGGCATTTCATTTAGTGTTTTGTCCAGTTTGTGTAGGGAGTGTCAAAGCTTTGATAATGCGACACCGATATTGTGGCTAATAGTGGGAAAGATATGGAAGAAGTCATTAGAGAGAGACAGTAGTAAATATATAGATGTGTTTCAGTGTGTGTGTGTGTGTGTTTCCGATGCAATGTCAGAGATATAGTGGGTGTCCACATAGCATATAGCAGCAAGGCACAGTTGAGGTTTTTGTGGGGTGGTAAAGGAAATGCAGAGAGACACAGGAATATAGCGGATAGAAAAAGAGAAGGCAGCAAGGGATCCCTTGCAGTGGGTGTTGAAGATCTCAGTTTAGTGGTAGGTGAAATCATAATTATTTTAAGTATTAGATTCCCCCTCTTCTCCCACTCAAATTCTGGTGACATAAAACAATTCCCAGGAGCATTTAGCTTGGTTTTTGGTAGTATTGATCTGACTTTTATAATTAAAAAAGGTAATAATGTCTCTCTTTAATCTTTACAATCAAGAACAAAGTGCCTGTGCAGTGACAATTTCTCAAAAGATTCTGGAATCTTCTTAATGTTCTTGGGCATCATGTCATGTCATCCTTCATTGCTACTCCCAACGACAAGTTTAGGTATATTCCCCATCTACTCACGTCTCGATCCCATGCGCTTGTGCTGCTCAGTACCCAGGCTCATGGTGCGCCCCAGCTCGCCGCGGACAGCCTTCAAGGATTTCAAGATCTCATCCGGATCGCGTCGAGCCACGGACGAACGGCGCCGGCCCACCAAATAAGACGTGGGCGGCGTGGCCATGGCGTCCTCCTCCAGCCGATTCTTTTCAGCATCCTGGAAGCTCGATCGACGCGAACCCGGCAATGAGCGCGAGAAGTCCTTGCCCAGCTGGTAGACCTCCACTTCCATGGTTTCCGACTGAGAGGAACCGCGTCGTGAGCCAGCTATCCAGGCGTGATCCGGATGCAACAGCGATGTTCCATCTCCGATGGAGTCTACGTCATCGGAGTTGGAGCGATGCATATTGTAGTCGCGTCGCAGCAACCGGGTCACATCGCCACTGGGAGCTCCTGCCCCGGCTGCAATGGAACCGCGGGGCGAGACACTCGGCGATTTGCTGATGCTAATGCCACGCAGCCCCTTGGTGTCCTCCAAGCGACACCAGATGGCCTGGTCGTCGAGGAAGGCCTGTTGCAGCTCAATGCTGCACTCGCCCAGGAAAATGGATTCAGTGTGGGGCACGAGGTCCCACAGCTGGATGTCTATGTAGCGATCCATCAAGGTGTCGGCCTTGACATGGCCGAAGGTCAAGGTGGCGTTCCAAATGGGATTCTGCGTGGGTCGGCTGACCTCCGTTTGCTGCACGCATCCATCGCCACTGCAGGTGGGGAAAGTTTTTAATATATGTTATAAAAAAGATTATTTAAGATTAACTTATGGCTTAATGTGTCAGGAAAGTAAAACCTGGAACCAATTTTGGTTTCACTTACCATTTGGGCAGAATGCGAACCTTGGCGTATGCCTCGGGGAGATTACCGTGTCCGTAGGCCTCATCCCGCAATGCCAGATCATCGCCGGCCATCAGGGAGACGACCAGCTCGTTGCGCTCGGCGTGGTACCAAACCTGGATCTGGACCCGCCCGGTGACCAGCTTCTCGCGGGCAATTTGCTCCTGCGGCGATCAAAAAGCTCGTTAGTTGGAGGTTCACATAAGCTTGGTCTGCGAATGCCTGCTGCTATTCAACTCTTAACAATCGCTTGGAATATATATATTATATATATAGTTTATGTCTGGTTTTATCTGCCTAGGGCCTAACAAAAGCATTTTGTTCGCCTTGCCTATTTACAGATGGTCGGCTGGCTTGTTTTCTGAAAATTTGCGTGTTTGTTTCGCTTTTTTGTTGTGTTCTGGCTGGGTGTGTGTGCGTGTGTGTGTGGTTATGTATGTGTACATAGCTGAACAACAAATTAAAGCAATCAAAACGTAAATAAAACTAATTAAACGAGTGAGAACGAAGGGGCGGTGGCAGGGTGAGCAGGGTGGAGCATGCTAGTTAAATTGCAACACAAGCCCCTTGGGAGGGGGCCAACACAAACACAAATACAAATGCGAAATACGAAATACGAAATACGAAATGCGAGAACTGAAAAGCAGGCACATAAATATAATGCAAATTATGATGTTCGCACACTGGAACACCGATGTGCATGTGTTCTCTATTTACAAAAGGCAAAGCACACACACACATGCACAGATAAACAAAGGGGACCGCAAATGCAATCTGCTCGGGGCCCTCTGTCTAGTGTTTTGTGTGCCCCAAAACGGAAGTCATTGCGGCGCAGTGGCGCATGAAGGTCCTGCGATTGTTGCTGAATCTACTACTAGTTACTACTATATGTATGTGCACCAAGAAAAAACACTAACTATCTGTGATTTAGTTGGTTATCTTTGTTAGTTGATAACTAAAAGGTAACTGATAGCTAGTGCCACTATAAAATGTGATCTTGATTACTATTAATTATCATAAGGTTATAGCTTAGAAACTTTCCTCTTATATAAATACCAAGTTAATGGTTATTTTGGACTGAAAATCCTTAACTTTTCAGAGGTAGTAAACTCTCTTCGATTGCCTAGTTTATAAGAATGTTTATCCCACTTAGTTCTAAAACTTAGGACAATAAACTTTTGCACATTGTTCTCAATAGCTGCCAATCATTTTAATATACTGTATCGGCTCTAGCGAATTCCCACTGGTTTTGTTATTTCTTGCCGTGTGCTAGTAGTTGGTAATATCGTGGCTTCATAACATATTCATGGCGTGTACATGCGCAGCAGCAACAACCACACGTCCGAATTGACTTTCTCCATGGCGGATCTGCAGCGGAAGCCGCCATATTGCAATAACGTGTTGCGAGCGGAAATGGAGCCCACATACACACACATACACACACATATATGTATTTGAAACTGCGAACTGTTGCTCGGTAACTTTTTACGAGCGAAAAGAAAAAATATTACATTATGCCGCACACTTTTCATCTGTGGAAATCGAATTCGTGTTGGGACTGCCTTATGGAAAGAGAGCAAAGGGGGCGTGGGAAGGTACTGGAAGGGATGTTTATTTTTATCTACAGGTAAGCAGGCACAACATGTACTTGCTGGATTATTGGAGTTTATCAGGCATCAGGCAGGCGCTGGGCGATAAAAGCCTAAGCACTTGAAAACTTTGAGGCCCGTCGTCGATAATAATAATGACGAAGGCCTCACCACGGAAAAGGCGAACTCTGGGTCTTGGGAATCCAAGGCGATGGAGATTGTTGTTAAAAGTTTTCTAATTTTCGACATTTCGAGCATTTTATGCCTCCCAGCTGTCAATTAAAGGGCGACAGCACCTGTTGCTGACAAGTCTGCCAAGACAAAAGTCACCGGGTTCCTTGGGATCGGCCGGGAGAGGGCGTAATGAAAAATTGGCACGCCCACTTGACACCTGCCCGGTGGTTTTCTGGGCACTTCGATGTGCTCCAAAGTTTTCGGCAACCGCAATTCCCCCTTTTTTCGCCCTGCAAGATAACTCAAAGTGACACAAAAGTTTGCGGCAAAAGTTGCGTATGAATAATAAACAGAGGAGACATGCCAGTGGTTGGAAAACATATAGACATAGACAAAATATATATATATATATACGAAGTATATACAGAAAAATTTAACACTTATTATTAGGAATGCCATAAGTTACAGATATTTAAGAGATATATACAGAGGGGAAGACAGAGACAAGGACAAGGTTGTTTGCTTTCAAATCGAATTGATTATACTTTCAAGAGTCGTATGCATATTGTGGGTTAACTGATTACATTCAACAGATCAATCAATATCAATATCAGTCAATCAATCAATCGCGTGGAAGGCAGCACAGCTCAAGGGTCAATCACTCTGTCATCAATTTGATGACAGTCGTATTACTCTCGGTTTTAATTTTGTACATATATTTAGATTGTTTCGGTTTTCGGTTCGGTTGTTGTTAGCCTCGTTTTTTAAGAGGTCTCAGTTTTTTGTTAGTTACTGTTTTCTTTTGGTATCTTTCATTGTTGTTTATAGCCATAACTCGTGCCAGCTGGGGTTACATTGGTTGTACAGGAAATGAAAATCGAGTTTGTATACAATCAGCACATGTTGTTCTTGTTGTTATTTATATAGTATAATCGCAAGTGATTTTAGTTGTTAAGTTTTTAGTTTTAGGAGAGATGCTAATCGGTTTAAGATTCAAGAGCCACTAAATGCTAGTCAAACTTAGGCGTAGGCTTTATGCAAATTAGGCAAAATGCAAACAAATCAAAGTGATGTACTCAAGGAATCTAAGCAGGGAACCAACTCAAATGGAATCGCAAATCAGGCAAACTAAAACCAAAACGAAAAGAGAACTTAAAAACTTGTTTGGTGTTGTGTTCTGTATCCTGGTGACCCTGGACAAAAGTATTCCTGATTGTTAGAAAAAAACCTGGGTTGATCGTCTCTATCTAAACACGAACATCAGGTACATTAGCGCACAATAAGCCTTTGTTTCGACGGATAACAAATGCAAACTGAAAGGATTCGCTGCGGAAAGTGTGTGTGCGTGTGTTTGTGTGTGTGGGTATTAATACGAGTTTGTATGGTACAGGGCTCCGCTTCGGTAGAAGAGCAAATACAGCACTATATGGTTTACAGATATTTACGTTCTTTTTTCAGGGGGTAGCGGCATAATTAAAGAGTAGTCGGGTATTATGCAAAGCCAAACTGAACAGACAGATCCAAAACCAAACGAAACGAAGCGGTAGAATCGAGAGGCGAAAGTAAAGGTAAACATTTGCTAAGCGAAAGCCAAACAAAAGCTCATAAATTGACAGAGAGAGATAAAGAGAGAGAGAGAGAGGTGGAAATTGTGTACAGGGGACACAGCGTGGCGGCAGCAGGAAACCAGGAGAGCTTGGAACGGGGCGTATACGTAATAAATAAAATGAAACCAAGGCGAAAATAAACGCAAATTGTAACGCAGCATTACATAAATCACAAAAGAGAAAGCGCACTTTACAATACATATTGACTGGGAGGAAGGGCTTTACAAAATATCTTATGGAACCTAGCTATGTTACACTGGTCATGTTTCATTATAATAGTTCTTTGTTTGGTTCTCTAAGGATATAAATACTGGGTGCTAAGAACTGTACAAACAGGTTTGAGTTTCTATATATATATATATAGCAATATGGGTTTTTCGGGTTAGCAATGCTCAATGTACAGGGTAGATAGAGTTGTGATAGAGTTGCTTTTTTCATTTACCATTTGACTGATGGCTTCGGGGGGTTGGTCGGAAGGTTGGTTGGTTGGTTGGTGGATCGGCGGATGGCTGAGTTCTGCGGATTTACGGAGATGCGGGTCTGCTGCGAAAGGATATATAAAGCAAGTCCAGGCAAGAGATTCTCAATTGTTTGCACGCGGTTCGTTTTTGTTTTGCAGTTAAATAGAGAGACTTTATTTTTCACATTTCTTTTGTTAGCCGTTTTTCAGTTTTTCAGTTTTTCTGTTAGATTTAGGTTTCTAGCACATTTTGGTACGCTGGTATACGCATTAGTGACTATTAACTGGTTGTATATATAGATATATATATATATATATGTTCAAGTATCGTATAGCGTAGAGTTGTAAATGTATACATATGGATTTCAAATTAGTACATATCTCAACCTCGAGCTGCGATTAGTGTAATCTAAAAAAATGTCATCAGTTTCTCACATTTCCATCGCACCTTCCATGACAGAGCACCTTTCAGGGCCCATTCGCACCTGCCCAAGTGACTTTTGTAAAAGGTTTCTCATAAATTACAGTTACTGGTAGTAGTTACAGTTACAATATAAGGTTAGAGTTACAGTTAACGAGTTATTAGATTACGTTTACAAGTAGGTACAGGTCTATACAAAGTGTTCTTTAGTTGCGATCGAAATCAATGTTAAGTTATCACCCATCTGACAGGAGTTACATAGCTACAAAGCATCTGTTGTAAGGTAAACGAGTAAATTCAGTTAGCTCTTTGAAAATGATGATTCTACACTCTCATTTCATCTCTCCTCCATTTTTAGCACTTCGTTATTGTGACTCTTAAATACGAATACGAGTATGTTATATGTAGGTGGGCTCCATCGTTTCTGTTCGGTTGCCGTTTCCGTTTCCGGTTTCACTTTCTATTTCATTTTCAGTTTCAATTTCAATTTCAATTTCGATTTGACATTTACAAACACAGCTCTAACACTGACACATATGTGTATAGAGAGAGAGAGAGAGAGAGTACGGGGTCTACGCTCGGACCTTAGTCGTGTACCGTACATAGATAGTATATAAGGTGTGTCTCGGGTACTTTGGCTTAAAAACACATTTAAACATTTCAACAACAAACTACTTATTTTGTTCTTACTTTTTTTTTTGGTTTGTCCAATTCGGTTGGTTTTTGTTTTTTGTTCGATTTTGCTTACGATTACAAATGTATATGTATATATATCATAAAGTCAATAACATTTAAAACACACACAAATATCGTTAAACTCTGTTCGCTACAAATTTTCACTAGTAACATTTATAAAGATTTCGGTTTATCTATAAACTATATTATAACTGGCCCAAGCCGAGCCTTTACATTTAGTTCATTTTAGTGATTCTCTCAGTAGGTCTTGTTCCTTTGTTATTATTGTATCGATTCGAGATTGCTTCTACACAAGCAGTTTTGGTTTTTCTTTTCTTTTTCTCTTTGGGGGATTAGCTCAAAATTCGTTTCTCAAGTGGATCTCCCCAGCGGAGAGCTGAGACATATCATAGACACGAATGTTACGTTAAAACTTGTTTATATCTTAAAACCCTATTGTTGGTGCTTTGTTCTTACTGTGATCTCGGGGCAATTGGATTGCCCGCAAAGAAGAAGGTTCAACCGAGGAAAAAAAGAGCTTTTCGAAACGAAAATACAACAGCGATACGGACTGTATCGGACTGTCAACGTCTTTGAGCATACTCCACTCCTATCAATATATCGCTTAGTGGCTATTTAACGTCTATTATATACGTTAGTTGGGCATGTTAGTAATATATTTTTGTAGTTTCTCGAAATCACTAAGTTCTACCAACACCGAAAAATAAATATATGTAAGTACATCTGGTGGTTATATGACAAAGAATAGCAATGAACACATTTAGCCATTTCGCATGGTTAGTAATCATAACTTGTATTAGGAATATCAAAAGTAAAACTTCAAATCCAAATCCAAATTCAAATCGAAAAGTAACAAATGAGGGGGAAACACATAGAAATCAGGAAATATATTACTCGGTTAGCTACGGTAAATATCGGGTATGAATGTGTTACCAAAAACGAAAAGTTCGAAAGGAAATCGTTGAATCAGTGACTATAAAAAGGTGAGTTTTATACGAGTATTTTTATATATACTTTTTATATATATATATATATAATATAGCATGGAAGCTGCAATCAAGTACGAAGAGTTCAATTCATTTCGTGAGCACTTTGTGAAAGCTGAAATCGTGTGGAAAACTGCTGCCAATGCTTAAGCTGCATTTAATAGCTACTTTAGATTATCGTATATGTTTAAGTTTCAGTTTCAGTTTCAGTTTTTTTGGGTTTGGCTTGCTGCACATAGCTCGGTGTGTTCTCAGTTAGGCGGTAGTTAGTATCTTTAAATCAATATATAGTATGTTCACTTCCTCGACTGCTGCCGCAGCTTAGGTTCTCTTACTCAAATCAATATAACGAAATAGTTTTATACCGGAGTTTTTGGTAATTTCCGTCTAGTTGGCGATGCTGGTGATTTGTCTGTTGTGGTTTCGGGTTCTGTTTTTATTATTTTTTTTTTTGCAATATTTCGATTGTCGCGTTCGGGAGTAACAAGAAACGAGAGCAACAAATGAAAAATATGTGAATGTCATAGCTGTTTACTTGCAGGGTAATGGTATTTACAATACACAGTGAGCTAAATAAATTTTCATAACTTACCCGCTATGAGGCCCAGGCCAACGGGACCGTCTCCCGATCGCCGAGGTCCGCTCTGCCCGCCAGCGTTTCCAGGCGGCAAATTCTCGTCGAAAAGATCACACATTCGGAAGTCCGTGGCGTGCTCCACTAGAAGCTCCACAATGTCACCGGTTCGGTCCATGATGGAGCATACCTCCTCGAAACTTCGGTCAATCAGGGACATTCCGTTCCACTCTAGGATCTGTTTTTGGATCAGAATTTAACTTATGTTAGATAAAGTTACTCTTATTCAACTTTATGTCCCGCAAAACAAATCTAATAATCTAAACTATACTTTTTTTTAACAGTGTCTTCCCAATGTTCCGTGCCGAAAAACCATCAATCATGAGCTATTAATTTAGGCCTGACATCTGGCCAAGTTTGCACTGCGGTTGGCCGCACTTCAGCACCCTTTAAGCCATCACCAATCATGGCAGTCTGGCCTAAGCACCACCCACCGCCCACCGCCCACACTTACCTTGTCGCCCTGCTGCAGGCCATTCTTCTCGGCCGCTCCTCCTGGAACGGTCCACACAATGTAGGCAAACAGCCGGCCATCGGCTCCTGTTTTTCCGCCGACGACGCGCATCCCAAAGCCACGTGCTGCGGGAGTAGACAATGTCAGATTTAATAAGAGCCAGGCTCACGCACGGGCCGATTAGGCCAAGATGCCGAGACGGATGCCAAGGGGACGGAATAATCAATAGTGGGGCTCTTGAACTGGACCAAAAATCGGGGACTGCGACTAGGCACGTACTCGCAGATACAGATACAAATTTCGGGCATGTGGCAACAATTTGCGTTGATTTCATTTGCACTTTGCAGTGGCACAAAAGTCGCTAACCGAACAGAAAACCCGACCAAGTCCATGTTGCGTATACGCCATGTCACCCGCCCTGTTTGTGTTTGTCTGCTAAGTTCTCGTTTTTTGCCAAGTCAGCGAGTTTTTTGTGGATGGCTGTTCTCTGCTGTGAATTTTCCAGTATTTTTCTTTCTCCCAAATTTGACACAAATTTATTTCTCCGACATAAACTTGACCCTTGGACATTTATAACAATTTAAGTGACCAAACAGCTTTAAGGGGGACATCTTAGTTGGCTTAAAAAACTGTTCAGCTTTTATTTTTAAAGGTTTTTCTTTATATCTTTTTAGGAAACTGCAAAACTTGCCAAACTGAAGGTGAATTTGGAGGCTAAGACATTTCGTTTGGCGAATCCAAACAATTTAATTAATTAAATTGCAATTTCTGGGGGGCTGCAGTTCAGTTTCAGGTACTTATCATTTGGCGCAGAAAACTAATTTCAACAATTTGTGCACCGAAAACTTGGGAAAGCGGATTTCCGCCGCCGTAGGACAGGCTGCAGACAATGGCCAGGAAAGTTAACCAGCCACCGGAGCAGCGATGACAATGAAATTGTGTCTCCAAGGTGAGATAACCAAGGAGAGTAGGGAGTAGGTATAAAGGGAGCCGGAAGGACAGCCTGGCAGGTCCAAGTTTTTGCGCAGGAAATGGCGGCAAACTTGGGCAGTATGCAATAAAATGTTGCGCATCCGCCATCGCTGTTGATTCAGGCGCATTGATACCCAATTAGGATAAGGCGACATTTTCCTTTCTCCTTTCTCCTTTTTCCTCACTCCTCCCCCGCTGTTTGTTGAGTGTGTTTTAATCAAAAGTTTTTTCCCGGCCTTCGCCTTAAGACTGCAATAAAAACGATATAAATAAACGCAAATCCTTTTGCTGACAACAGGGAAAAGGCCCAGATTATTCGATGACGCCACGCTTTTTGGATAACTCGCGATTAAGGCACTGAAAAGAAAAATGTTTACCTAAAGCATATGAATTCTTTGAAGCTTTTAACCTAAATACAAACAACATCTAAGTTTTCCGTACTTAAACTTTGTATTCATTTCTTAAAATCAAGAAAATCGAATGCCAATTTGGGAAGGTTTCTCTCCGAGTGCAGTCATTTGCCTTTAAGCCCGCACTTAACATGGAGCTGAGTGAAATTTTCGATTCGTTTTGGCCATAAAAATCATGAGTGGAGGTAAGGTCCTTGTTTTGGCCATGTCCAGGGTCCTTTTGTCTCTCTCATTGTCCCGCTGCCCACTGTCCGCTGGCCTTTTCCGTGCGTATTTGCCATTCTCGGCCGGGCCAGACTTTTATGATACAATTTGTTTGCCGGATGGCCAACGATTTTTTATGTGGCCATCATTGGGATTTAATAAGCCGGGCGCACAGCCACACACAAAGGTGTGTTGTTTATAGCCAGAAAGGGTCGGGGTGTCCAAGGGCTTATTCCTATTTGGGGTATCCGTTTCTTTTGTTGGCCAAGGGCCGTAAACATGCTGGCAAATTGAATCAACATTTGTATGTAGGTCATTATGTAGGCTCAGAACTTTCACTTTGAAGGCCTATACCCTTTAATTGGCCTAAGCCCATCAAATGCTCTGCAAGGGCAATCCTTTAAGAATTTCACTTTAATTGGAAAACTATCTCTAAGCTCTGCCTTTTAAATTTCTCCCCAGAGTTTCCTTTGGCAAGTTTTTAATTTGTGCCATGTCCTTGCATCCTGCATCCTGCATTCTGCCAGGCACAGACACATGCTCCACATCCTCGTAATGGCATTAAGTCAGCAAACTTTTAGCTGACACACATTGAACGACTTAATCGATGCACACACCTGCTTGCATCCCGGCACCTGTCTTCCCTTGCCTCACAGGATCCCTTCTCGGGGGAAAACAAGTCATGGAGTCATGAGCGTAAGCGATTTAGTGGCTTCTATCAGCTGCTATAAAAATTGTCTCTTAATTAAACTAGCAAAGCGAAACGCATGCAAAGATAGTACTAGTGTGTCTTGGCTATCAGGTTTTCAGTTGGTTGAAGTAATAAACTAGTTTAAGATGAACATCATCCTTTGGCAAGGGCACGGGGAAAAATGCTTGCCTTATTTGAAAGATTACATCTGATTAGCTAATCTTTTTTTATATTCAAAGTGTGTTTAAAGGCTACTTAATAAGTGTTTATCAATGTTTAGTGGAACTTTTAGTTGATTTGGCCTTTGGAAATACAAAAAATCTCTTTAAAAAGTTTTCTTCTTAGTTTTTCCTAGTGCACCATAAAGGGAAATGCCTCGATTTGAGTGACTTGTGAGGCGAAGAACTATGAAGAGGCAGCCAAGCGAGCAGTTAGAGGTTGTGGGCCAAAGTAGGCGTGGCATATGGCCACCTGTAGCTCAGATAACCAAGCACGCAATGCCAAAACCGGAGGTTCGTGATTCGCTGCAATAAATGGACACGTGTGTGTGTGGCCCATGAGGCTGCATAAAATTTCATTAGGCGTGTTAAGACGCCATTTGCTATTACACCCCAGAACCCACCTCACCTCATCCTGGCCAAAAATCTCCTCCCTCTCCGTAGACGATTAACAGTTGCTATCGGAACACTTAAAACGATGCATAATTGAAGAGGACGACGAATTGCCAGTGGGAAACAATTGAATTACACGGAACCATCGGATGCCCAATTAGCCATGCGAGTGCAGCGTCTAATTACATCTACCTGCGTGCAGGTGCTGATGTTAATGCAAAAAGTGTAGCATGTTTCTGGGCGCAGCGCTCAAATTACAAGGCATCAGGCTCCGTCAATATATCAAGACGAAATTGCAGCACAGCTGCCACAACCGCAAGCCAAAGCCCACGTATATGTATGAGGCGTAAGTCTGGCAAGGAACAAGGATAAGGATAAGGATACGGATAGCCGTGGAGGTGTACAACAAATACCAGGAGAGGCAGCCAAGGAAATGGTTTAGAACATTAAAATTCCACTTGCCTCGCTGCATATCAAATATGCCGAGCTCAGCAGGCACACTACGCAGCCACTACTGGCATGGCTATGTGGCGTATATAGATATATAGACAAGGCCCTCGGGAGTGGGTTTAACTCATGATATCGCATGGTTTGGAGCCACCCATCTAGGAACATTCCATTCGCCCGAGCTGCAGCTGCTTGTGCGTATTTGTTGGGTATTGACATTTTTTTTATGATATGCAAATTGAAATTTTATATTAGCAAGCGCACGTCGCCCAGGTGGCTAACCGATGGGAAAAAAGGGGAAATGTGTGCTGGCTGCCGGCGGCTAGTTATTTTGATTGGTATTATAGGCGCTCGTTAAGAGCTCTCCACAAGATCCAACTAAATGCCACGTACTCCAAGGGAATTATGAGTGCTTTCGAGGATGTTTGGTTATTGAAATTAAAAGGAAATTTAAGGATATTTATGGGAGAATTTTTTGATAGTTCTGGGAATATTTCATCATTGGAAAGTTCTTAAAATTTATCTAAGAACTGAGTCCCTCCTATTTTTTGAAAGATTATCGCTGTACTTTGTTTTCCAAGTATAAATTCTTGAGCATACGTTCCACTTCCGAGAAACTGGCAATCAATTTTCACTTGGAGCTGTGCTATTTGCTCGTGAAAGTTTTCACTTTCAACTTGAGTCCACCGCCAGCCCCCTTAACACTTTGCCAGTCCCTGGTTTTCCAGTTACCAGTTTTCTGCCAGTCTTTTGAAATTTGAAATTTGGCTCTGCCCTTGTCGAGAGTGCATCTAAGTGTCGGAAAGGCGGAGGCCAAAGCAAATGGAAACTGGCCAGGATGTTGGCCACTTTTTAGTGCATTCGACTTGCATGTGTTGCATGGACTGGCCGAGAGCAGGCCATGCATGCATGCATGTGCCAAACATTCGAGGCATTATTATTTATGGCCAGCAAGGCGTAAACTTTTCCATTCCCATTCGACTTTTTTCTTCTCGTTTGCACGTTCTCAGAAGAGAAATGCCCCCATTCAAATTTGCTTTGAATCCTAATGCCCCACCACGCTCCAAGTTCCTTTTCGTATTGATTTTTATGCTCCGAGTCCGCTGTCGATAATTAAAAATTCATTTGGCCTGCTATCCTGACTGACTGGCCCCCCGAGGTATGCAACAAAAATGCATATAATTAAAATACATCCACAGGAAGTGGGAAACAAAGCGAGGGAATAAAAACCCTGGCCCACACGTACACCCTCTCATTCCCATACTTACACACACCTACACACATACCCAAATGACATTGGCCAACAATGCCGAACAGCTAAATGTCCTTGCTGCAGCAACGGGTAACTCGAAGCTCGGAGCTGGGAGCTGGAAGCTCGGTACACGGAACCTGGAACCCGGAACACAGAGCTCTCGTTGCCTTTATGTCGATGAAATCCGCTCAGTTGCTTAATCTGCTACCAGTCTGCTTCCGCTTTGGGTTTCATTAAGGCCCACGGGGAACCAAACCACATTATCCCTGCCACTACCGACCACCAACCCTCGACCGTACATTTGCTCCTGCACTTTGCTGGGGGAATTAAGGTGCCCACAGATACCCACAACCGACTCCAACGCAGGATGGAACGCTGCTCCGTCGAATTAGCATAACCAAACGTCGTAATGAGTCCTGTTTACTTGCCCATTTCCGGTGCGGTTCCAAGGGCAGGACATCAACCGAAGCCGGATGGAGCGGACAAACAAACCGAACTCAATCTCCTTAACACAGGGAGAAAAATCTACAAGCTGGGAGGATATCAGAAAGGGTTTCTTAACTAAGAAGGAATTTTATATCCCATTAAAGCTTTTCTTTAATTTTGTGCCATTAGTTTTGCTTTGTATCTGAATATATCCTTCGATTTTTTCCAGTGCACTCCCACACACTCTCGCACCCAATTTCAGGCACACACATTAAGCTAAGCCCCGAGGCTCCAGTGCCTTGTGTCTTAGTCTCTAAGCTCTCAACTCACTGCGGTGCGCCTTGTCCGTGGGATCTCGGCGCAGAATGATGCGCCGCTTAGATGCACAAATCGGGCCCGAATCCACGTCGTGTATTACGATCCTTATGGCCTCGCCGTCCATTGATGTCTGCCGTCGCGGCGCCTCCAAATCCTCCAGATTGGGGCCCGTGAACGAGGCCATGGGCGGCGGAATCGAGGAAGGCGGCACAGCCGGCAGAGCACCGCGATTCTGAAGCATCGCTATGTCGGGCCTGGGAAAGAGTTTTATCTTATAAAATGAATGATTTTGCTTATGATTTATCATATCATCATAATATTAAACATTTTAAAGGTTTTTAAAGCCCTGAAGTTTATAAAAAGTTAACACTTACAGCTGCGAGCCGCGTCGCCGCATCCGTCGGTCATCGTCGACGGTCAGGACGGGGCTTCCCTTATCTGGTGAACCCGGCGAGTCATCGTTCTGGATATCCTCCGAGGGATGTGGCACCCGGAACGAGGGTCTCCTGGATCCGGGCAGCTGAATGGGAGGCATGATTCCACCCTCGCCAGGCGACCTCTGCAGCTGTGTGGCAGGCGTGGCGCCACCCTGCGTCAACCCGGGGGCAAACACATCATAGGCGGACTTCCTGTGGGTCAAAATAAGATTGAGCAAGGTTTTGGCCACCCCTTAACACCGCCATTTTACCTGCGTGGCATAGATGGAATGCCGAGGCCCGCACCATCTGCCCCCAGGCCCAGCGCCGGCCCACCGCCGCCCATGCTGCCGCTTACGGGCCCGGTCTTCATGTCGTCATCGTAACTGTGCTGCCGGGCAACCCGCGATCCCCTTCGCGACTGCATCCGTGATAGGGGAGCACCGAAGGGAGGCTGTCCATCCGGGCCATCGCCCCTCGGCGGACTGTTGGAGCGACTGGGCGCCATGCTGCGGCCACCTTTCAGTTGCTGGAAAATATTTTTAAAGGATTTTTATTGGAGATCCTTTTCTAGAATCTTTAAGGGCATTAATTTTTTCCCACTTACCCGTTCCAACTCCTTGAGCGAGGCTGGCGAAACATCCGAGTGGCGTCGCAGCTCGGGACTTCTCGGCGGGGCGAGGGCGGCACCATTACTGGGCGCCAGCGTTTGCGTGCTGCTGCCCAACTTGGCGTCCGAGTGCCGCCGCTGTAGTGCCTCCAGCACCGGGACGTCCAGCATCGAGTCCGTGGAGTCCTGCGGAATACAGACCCGGGAGGCCATTTTCCGGCGGCACACGCTGCAGCGCCACATGGTCTGTGGAAGCGGAAGGGAGGGGCGGGATAATCAATTACCATTGCTGTGGCAACGTGGCATCAAGTATACGCAGCGTTAATTAAAAATTTCCAGCTTAGCGCTGGAATCTATTTGCGGCGCACACGGCGCCCGCTAATATTTATTAGTGGCCAGCGAAAAAGCTCAAGAAAACCCATTATGTTGGGGCAGCGAAAATAAATATTAATTACTTTCAGAACAAAACTTTTCGCCCCCTTTGGCGTCGAGCACGTTGCAGAAAAATCCTATTTCCAGGACCTCCCACACACACGCAGAGAAAATGGGGGACACAGGTGCGCCTGCATCATCATCATCATCCCCTCAAGTCCGCCTCGCTGCATTTTCCACTTCCTTTTTCCGCGGCACGCCCGCACAATGCTCGTTACATTTCCACCTGGCTGCTGATTCATTTTGCCCAGCGGCTTCAATCGTCATGTGTGTCACCCCCGTCCTTTGCCTCCTTCCTCTTATTTCCCCTACCTTCCCCCTATATTCAATGGCTGCCCTGGCGGAAGCTGCCGCCATTGTAATTAAGTCACTGCACGGGCAGAAACCACCGAAAGCTGTCAACAATCCGGTTGTAAAGGTAATCAAAACAGTTTACATTTGTGGCTTATAATGAATTGATTTTTTAAGTTGAAAAGGAGAGTCACTGAAAGATCTGGAAGTTTAAAGATTTTTCTGGAAGCTCTCTTTGATAGTTTTCCCAGTTTTCCCAGTTTTCCCAGTTTTTCTCCGTGCAGCTATGCACATGGCCAGCACTGTACGGAGCAGCTGAAACTAGAGCCCGGCTCTGGTTTATTGCCTCTGTGCTCCCCAGTTGCGTGCTCTGTAATTACATGGTGCTGCGGCAGTGTGTGGCTGCCAGTTCATGATCCCATCGAGAAATCGACTGAAAAGTTATTTCCTAGCTGCCACAGCAACGTCAGCGAAGAGCAGCCAACCAAGCTGCATGCTCATGAAAATTTAAGATTTATTTTGCGTTCATCGCGTATGCAAAGGCAGGCGGAAATCGATATTGATGTGAAAGGGCCTTAGTCTAAGCAGGAAGTCGGGCATGAAGCAGCAAATAAGCCATGCAACATTTTCAAAATAATCAGCAGCACTCACGGAAATCTATCTTGAATTCTGGCTTGTCAATCTTGATTTGTGCTGCCTTTTAAATCATCAGAGATTATAACAATTTTATTATTATTTTGCTTAGTGATTTTGAGGAATATTTTAGCCACTTAAATCTCTGGTGGCTTGAAAGCACTTTGGTGTCCAAATCGGTGAGTATATAAATGTGGAAATGTTTATTTTAATAAGTAGTCTTTTAGGTTTTAAGCAATGTTGATGTTACTTAGCTTTCACATTGCTTTAGCCACCTCAACTGGTAGTTTTCCCAAGAGGAAGTTTTTGTTTTGAAAGATTTTTGGTGTCAAAAATAATTGTCTATCAATTGGAATGTGTTTGAGTTTTCTGACAATAAAACGCAACCAACTCTTAAGCTTTCAAACCGAATTAAAGATGGGCCAAAGTATGTTCAGAATTTTGCATCGGAAATGCAAACTTCAGTTGAGTTTTGTGAACTAGAAAACAATGTTCTCCTTTTTCCAGGTGACTCAAATCAAATTCCCATTTGGCATCGGCCATAACCAGAGTTCCTGAACAATCGAATGCCTGGTTAGTGCCTAGTGTTGTATGCTCTAAATGATTATTTCAGCAGCGAAGCCTCCGCAAGTCCAGGAATGAGACCACAATACACCACCATACACCCGGCTCCTGCTCCATTGGCAGACCCATAATTACACTGGGTGGGTATAACAGGCGGTTGCGGGCCTGTTGTGTGCTGTAGTCAACGCCCATGAACATCAATTTCAATTAGCCAAAGTGGCCAGGTTGACAGACAAACGTTAAATTTTATGTTCAGGGCGTTGGCGTGGCTTCTTGACAAATTACCACAAGTTCGGGTGAAGACAATGTTGCATGGTGTGGTTATCAATGATCATTATGCGGCAAGTGTTGATAGGAGATATACAGGAGGTACCGCAGGGAATCCGAGGAGGAGGAGGAGGAACTGGAACAGGACATCAGACAAGTGGAGCCCGCTGCCGGGGGATGCCATTTAATCTCGTTAATTCGGCCTTTATCTTGTTAATGTCCCGCGATGAATAGGCCGCAGTTAAGCCCAGTTGGCCATTGTCAACGGACCCCTTTGGCCACCGCCAGTAATCTAATTTATGTGCACTGACCCATGCCTCCCCCACTGACCGACCACCCACGCAGTCATTATCACGGGGGAAAAATTGAAAATCCGTGCTTTGTTCTCGAAATTGAGTTAACAACTTTGAAATTCTGAAAACTATTACTTTGTTTTTGAATTGAAACTGACAGAATACCAATTTTAATCAAATATCAAAGTTAATTCGTTTGTTAAAGTTAAAACAATGTTAAAAATGTTTATCAGAGTTTTCCTGCCACCTGACGAACTTAAAAGTTATTTTCAATTTTAAAAGCTATTTCCATATTTAGAAAACCTTTCCCCCAGTGCTTGTCACCCTCCACTACTTTCTTATTAATGAAGTGCCGCTGCGGCCAATGTTTATTTCTGCCGCGAAGAGGACGCGACCATGGCGCAATGCCTAGTGGCCCGGAAGGTGCATCCTGACCATCCCAAACCCTTTACTTGGCATCCCCATAACTTACCGCATCCTCGTGCTCGTCCAGCTTGCTGTAGCTGGCGCAGTCCTCGCACACTCGCTGCTGGCACTCGAAGCACGTCTTGTGGTAGTCGTCCGGCTTGAAGGACTTCAGGCACACCCTGCAGGCACCGGCCCTTCGTCCTGGCTCCTGCTTGGCCGCTGCCCCGCCTCCACCAGTCGACGTGCCGCCACCGCTGCTGTTATTATTGTTGTTGTTCAGACTGCTACCGGAGTCCTGCTGCTGCTGGCTTTGATAGCTGGGCGAGCCGTAACTGCCGCTTGTATCCGCATCCGTCGGCACCAAAGAGGGGCGTGGCGACATTTTATTAACTTTGAAAAGAGAGACAACGGAAAATGCAGGGTGTTATGTAATCAATTACTGAGGCACCCAGCCAGCCAGCCAACCAACAAAAACCCCTTTGGAAACTTGTTGATTTTCCGCTGATTGCATGGGCTGACCCAAATGCAATGTGTGGCTGTGTGTGTGTATGCCCCAAAGCGGCACACTCTCTGTTTTCTATGCTTAATTTGTTGTCAGCGCCCATAATTTGTTTGGTCTGCAAATTGCCCCAGCGACAGGCAGGCAAATGCAATAAATAAAATAATAATCGGGTGAAAAGGAAATTTCTGACAGCCGTCGATACTCATTAAAGGGGATGGCTAAAAGGTAGGAAGTTAAGTTGGTAAATGGCTGCTAAATCGGATAATTTCGGATTGGTAGATGTTAAAAAATAAGTCCAAAATAGCAAGAAATTAATATTTATAAGTTAAGGTGGCAAAATAGTATTAAACTACTAAGAAACTAGAAGCAAAATCGATAAATATAAAAGTCTAAGCACTTTAAAATTAATATTTAATAATCATAAAACTTATTAAGTAAATATTATTTAAAGAAACATTTTCGCTGAGGGAAATGCAAATAAAAACTTGACAGACTTTATTATGAATTTCTCCTTGCCACTAAGGGCACTCTCTTAAATTACATAAAATCACTTATGCAACATTTGATTTTTCTAAGTGAGTTTCATTTTTGCAGCGGAAAAACCTGACAAACTGAAGCCTTTTCCCCAGAACTGGCGCACATTTAAATGATTATATGCTTTGGCAACGTGTGTGTGTGTGTGTGTGTGTTTGTGTGTTTTATATATTTCACCCTTGAGAAAATGGTGAAAAGTTTTATGCGGCCCGGAAAAAGTCGCGGTGCATTAGTCACAGTCATGAGACAAGGACAAAGGCGGGCTTTTGTCGTGCGCCTTGCATTGCTCATACGCACAGTTGCACCTTGTGCTTGTTCACCTTTCGGCAACTCACGCTTGACATTTTCAGCCGTAAAAGTGGCAAAGCAAATATAAAACAATGCCAGAGAAAACCCAGCGAGGAAAAACCTTTCTCCCTTTCTGTTCTATTTTGTTTTAAAAAGCGATTTCACCCACTCAAGGGAACACTCAGGTGGCATGAAAGATAAAAGAACTGCGCAACTATTAAAGTATTTGCAAGTTTTTTCTGCCCTTAAATTATGTGTCAACTCTTGACTGTGGTTGGCCACAAAAAAAAAGAAATCTGGAGAACTGCCAACTGGCGCTGGAGAGCACTTCTGCAGCTGCATCCTTCGGAGAGTTCAAAGGGACACAAGTACAAAAATATTTGCCCAAATTATGTGCGCAAATCTGTCTCGCTCTTTTACGACCCTGCTAAATAAACATCGTGAAATAAGATTTCATTTCGTTCTAATAAATCGAATGGCTTGGCCTGGCTTGGCCATAAAATCAACAAGCCACAGCTTTCGCTTAGCTGGTGGCCAACTAAAATGTGATAAAAATAACACAAAAGTCAACACAACATTCTCGTGTTTCCCGCTGTTTCCTTCACTACCACTAAATAAATACAGCAGAGCTCAAGATAATAGTAACATAAGATGTTATTTTACTGGAAGAGAAAAATCTAAAAAATTGGTATTGCTTTTAGTTTCGATTCTTAGCCTAAAACTTCTTACTGACATCTTAAGCTATCCGTATTACATTTATCTCTTAGGACATGTTATCTTGAATGTACTACCATTATCTTGAACTCAGCTGTAACTGCCATACTAAAGCTGATGCTGAAACAGAAGTCACCGATTTTTATTGACTTTGTCGCAGCATTTATGGACCCCATAACAATGACTGTGTGAATGTCGATGACTTGACATTGCAGCCAAGCACTGACCCCTTACATTATTCAATATGCGATGCAAACGAGCGTGAGAAGCAAATATTGCGTATACGCACCGTTAGCCGCCGAATGCTCATTGCTAAAACTTACGTGCGCTGGCAAAAACAGACGCAAAGTTTGCACAAAGTTTAGCAAGCAGCTTTACGGGCACTTGTATGAAAATTCATGCCATAAATTCGCATGCACTTACGGCAAGGATAACTGAAAGGATAACCCAGCACACACACACACACTTAAACCCTTATGCTTATGTTACATATGTATATATATGTATGTACACTTACCTTTGTCTGTGACGGTGAGCAGCGAGGAGGAAATCGTAGCCTTCATCTTGTTCAGGGCCCCCGTTTGGGAGGCCCCGCCACCCGAATCCGCTGCATGCTGCTGCCGCTCGCTGGTCTGCTCATCGGTGGCCACCATCTGCGGAAAATAACAGAGGAAAAGTTGAGAAGGTGAGAGGTCAGCGGGCAGCGGGCAGGGCTAAGTAAATGTGGATAAATATTGGTGTATCGAGCTGTGAGTTTGATTTGCGGCAGCTGTAAATCTTTATTCGGCTCTTGGCTGGGTCTGGCCATGAACATAAAACCTGAACCAAAACGACGAGATTATTGGCTGTAGTAATACACGGCCACGTTGCCCTCATTCATCAGCTAAAAGTCCTATGTAACTGTCGGTTTTAGATTTTGATTACGGAGGTCTATGGGAATTTAAAGGAATTTACTGGATTAAAGTTGTGATGCATATTAAATTAGTCAAGGCAGATAAGAAATAAACAAAACCTAGAGTAGTCGGCATATTTCAGTATTTGCGTCATTACAAAGCCAAAAATGATCATATCATGGAAAGTTATATCTTGTTGAGCTTGTTTTTCAATCTATTTTCAAAATATCCAAGTGCCATTTTAATCTGAGAAAAAAAAATATTTTTTGAATTTTTCGAAAAAATGATGATGGTACCCCTTACAAAAAAGTGAAATTTATCAAAAAATTTAGTTTCCGTAAATCATTGCCATACCCACATAGGAAGTTTGCTTGGGTCGTAAGTTGCACAAAACAGTCTTTCTTTTGGTTCTGCGACTTCTTTTGACAAAGTTATAAGCATAACACTGGGGAAAAATATTGCGAATTTTACTCAAAAGTCACAATTTTGCTTTTCAACCTAAAATATCAGTATTTTCCTCATTACAGAGCCAAAAATGATCCCAACATAGAATGTTACACCTCGTTGAGTTCGAAATTAAATTCCCCGTCGAACTGTGTACCACACTCAAAAAGTAAATTTTTTTAGATTTTTTGTACATTTTTATAATGCGAAAAAAATGTGAAACCGGTCTGACCCGATTTCAGGCTCGAAATATCAGTATTTTGTCTATAACAAAGCCAAAAATGGTCGGAATATGGAATGTCATACGTCGTTAGGCTTGTATTTTAATCTTTTTTCAAAATATTTAACTGTCAGTAAAATCTGAAGAAAAAATATTTTTTCCATTTTTAGAAAAAATGATGATGGTACCCCTTACAAAAAAGTGAAATTTGACAAAAATGTTCATTTCCGAAAATCATTGCCATACGCACATAGAAAGTTTGTGGGGGTCGTAAGCTGCACAAAACAATCCTCCTTATAGCTTTGTGTCTTACTTTGAGAGAGATATAAGCATAATACTGCTAAAAATATCGCGAATTTTACTCAAAAGTCATAATTTGGATGTTAAGCTTAATATATCAGTATATTTCCCACGACAACGTCGAAAAACGTCGGAATATGGATTGTCATACCTCGCCGAGTTCGTAATTAAATTCCCCGTCGAACTATGTACCACACTCAAAAAGTACATTTTTTGAGATTTTTCGTAAAATTTTATGAGGTTCAAAAAATGCGAAAACCGATGTGTCCCGATTTGAGGCTCGAAATATTAGTATTTTGTCTATAACAAAGCCAAAAGAGGTTAGAATATTGAATTCTATACATCGTTGAGTTTGTTTTTCAATCTATTTTCAAAAAAATCAACTAGCATTAAAATCTGAAGAAAAAAAAATTTTTTCAAATTTTCGAAAAAATGATGATGGTACCCCTTACAAAAAAAGTGAAATTTGACAAAAATTTAACTTCCAAAAATCATCGCCCCAACCAAATAGAAAGTTTGTACGGGTCGTTAGCTGCACAAAGCAATCCTCTTCATAGCTATGCGTCTCATTTTGGCAGAGATATAAGCGTAATACTGGCTAAAATATCGCGAATTTTACTCAAGCGTCATAATTTGGATGTTCTGCTTAAAATACCAGTGTATTTCCCACAACAACACCAAAAATGGTCAGAATATGGAATGTTATACCTCGTTGAGTTCGGAATTTGATTTCTATGATTCTCAATTGGTTTGCACTAAAATCTTATCGAAAATGCAAGCATTGGTTGTCTCATATTTTCTCCTCAAAGTGACAGTATTTTGTCCATAACTTAGCCAACTCAATTCACATTTAAATACACATTCCCTCTTTCTTTTAGGCTAGCATGATAAATCATTTTCCTATCCCAGAGCTTAACTAAACTAGACGAATATTAGGATTAAATTCCCAGGCCAAGATCTGAGTTCCCTGTGCGTAAGGTTATTACCCTGATGTGCCTCAGATTTTCTCAGCTTTTTTTCTGCCCAGTCATCACAGGCACGCAGGTGAAAGTAACGCGGTGCGTTTTATTTGATTTTTCTGGGTTCTGCTGGAGGCGTCTGAAGCGCAACAAATTGCCAAGAAATCGTAAAGTGTGGCAAGTAATTTTTGATTAAACAACGGAGGACCAAAGGCAGAATCCGCCAGCCGGAGAGGCTTTCAAAAATTGCCGTCATTCTTTTTAATGCACACAGACTGTGAGAAGGGGGGATTCACCGGGCTTAGCTGTCTGTGTGGGTGTGGGTTTGTGTATATATATGTGTATATGCCAGGGAGAAGAATAACAATTGGAGGCGACTAGTCGACCAGCCGAGCCCCGAAAACATAAGTGCTGCTGTGCTCTGTCAGCATTTTATGAAGTGGAAATTTTCTATTTGCCAAAGCGCCAACGAAACCGGAACAAACTGCCGCACAGTTGACTACACAGGAAACAAAATGAAGAACTAGATTTGAAGTGCACTGAAAATAATAATGTATATACTTTTGAAACTATGGGAAGGGAATAGAGAGAATACAGTAAGTCATTGCTAAATTATTTCGAAAGTTAGTGAAACTGCAATTACTTTTGTAGATAGTAAAATCAATAGGCCTTTAAAATATTTATCGCTTTTCTAATCACTTACTTACTTATTGTTTTCTTTAATACACATGCTAAAATGTCTGTTTAATATTTAATCAAACAAATTATAATATTTTTCGCTATGCATGAAGGACTTTCCATATAGTGCAGCCTTCTCGTTCGCACAGCGCAAATTACGCTAAGTGCTTTTGGCTGCAGCGTTTTCGGTTGCCTACCTTTCCAAAGGGGGAAAAGGCTTTAGGGGGTTAAGAGGGGATTTTCGGGGGACTAGGAGGAGCCTAGGTGGTCAGGATCCAACTCTGGCAGGAACTAAGCGGCATCTAGTGTCAGATTATGGCCGCTTTGTGCTCGGGCTGGGCTACATTTTTGATGATGTCATTTGATGTCGGCCTGGTAATATTCATGCTGCGGATTTATGGGCTCCTTTGCTCCTTTCATTTTCCCTGCCAGCTTTTGCGGGTAACCCATGAAATCTTAGTGTAATGTATAGTTGTTTGTTCGGAGGTTCGGGGGTTGGCGCGCCCTTTCCGTACTAAGACCCTACTACAGCCCAGAAAAACCCCACTTAATTTATGTGCTCAGGTGTCTGACGCCATTTTTCTTGCACAAGGGTAAACTACTCGGCATTCCTCCTGCACAGCTCCTCGCACAATTATTGCCGTGTTAATTTTGTCATTTATTATGATTTTTTGCTCTGCCGGAGTCTGGGTCTTATGGCCCGAAGCCGCAAATAGTTTCATGTTTAGTGCCGAAAATTATGTGTTGACGTTTAAGAGCTGCTGTTGCCGCCTCCATGAGTTTTTCCTCACTTTTCCACTCGCTTTTCCCACGCTTTTCCACTCGCTTTTGCCGCACCACACTACCATAATAAGGCGCGCAATATGTGCGCCCTTTATGGCCGCAAAGTATGCTACATAAAACAGCAGTCAATGCGGGGGAAGAAATGAGAAGAAAGTCGGTCGCCATTGGGGAGAAAGTTCTGCCTTGTCTGCGATGAATGAATGCGTTTGCATTCCGTGAGGACAGACATCCTTGCAGCCGGAATGGAAATCAATAGCAACTGAAATGAAAGCAGCGAGCAAATACTTTGCCACTTAAAACTTGCCAACAACTTTATAACGAATGTCTTACGGAAAACCTAAGGACACGTTGGAAAATGTCTATATAGACTTATTAAGTTTGTGACATTATTGCTGGGACACTAATTTATGTATTTATTTTGTTTAGTTTTCCACATTTAATTGGCAATCAAACTTATTACAAAGTAAATTCTCCCTTTGATTCATTCTTTCTTGGCAATGACTTTTACTACATAAATTTATCAATAATCATTGTTACTTTTAATTTTCGTTATTTTGTCGAGTAAAGTTCTATTAAGCTTATGTTTTTCTGATACTAATTGGATTTTTCCCAATTCGTTTTAAATTATTATGCCAGGAAGGGGAAGTTGAAGTCTTCAAAGGATTTAATTGCTAATTAATGAAAATGTTTTCCTACAAATAAGCAGATTACCATCAGTTAGAGTGGAGTACGAAATACCTTCTGTTTTTCCTCGTGTATTAAGTAGTTTCTGGGGCAGGCACGTGCTTGTCATTGGGCTCAAGGCTTCGAGTTGCCTGTTGCAACTTACAAGTTGCCAGCTGCCTGTTGCTGTTTATGGCCTGCACCGAGGCACAATAAAGTGCAGCACACAGACAACGGGGCCAACCGACTGGGACACGTGTGGTCAGGATGGAATGGCCAGTATGGAATGGCCAGGAGATGGCATGGCCGAGATGGCATGGCTGAAATGGCATGGCCAGGAGCTGTCCACAGGCGAGTCCACAGCTAGACACAGGCAACCGCAAGCAAATGTGTAACGAGCCAAGTGTGGCAGTTGCCAGGGAACTTTACAGCGGCAGGACTATTAAGGAAATTGCTGCAAATAAACTGCAGGAGGTCGTGCAGCCACCGAGCAGAATTTCAGCACCATTGATGCCCCAGTGAGCGTCCTTTGATGTCCTGCGGTCCCTTCGCATTTGTCGCCAAATTCCAAATAGCCCGACGACTGGTTGTTAGGCATTTGAATGGCGAATAGAAAAAGTTTGCCAAATCCTTTTTGCCAACGGACTTGCTAACAGACTGTCAACGGCTCATCATTGTCTTGAGATGGGTTCCTTTCTGGCTAACGGCGGAAGACTGAAGTCTGGCGAAGTTCTGCTGCTTTGATTTTGTGCTTCATTTGGTCTAATCAAACTTGGCGAAAACACAAAAATCTACAGCATTTAGTTGGCTGGCATTTGCTTGTTGTCAGCCGGCATTCTCCCGGCCTTTAATTTCCAACTTGGTTTTTATTAACTTTGCAAAGAATTTTGTGCCAAACAGGAATTTCTACGGAATTTACACTCTTCGAAGGCTTTTCCGTTTTCGTTGCCGTTTTCTCCTTTTTCTGTGTTATTTTTGGCTTCACACGCCCACTTGTTCATGTATAATTTTATTCTTTCATTTTTCCCTTGCCCGACCATTTGCCGAAAACAATTTCCGCATTATAAAAAAAGGGACACCAACCCGAGGCAGGTGCTCGGCAGGATAATTGAACCACTTCGATTGCCGCCAGTCCGTTTGCGTTTTTATGTGTATTTTTGATATTTTTCGGGGGCTCATCAACAAAAGGGGCAAAGCCAGTCAGGCGGGCAAAGCATTTAAAGGGCTTTTTAATTAAAAAGTTTTGTTTGCCCTTCCGCCGGGCGTTTGTTTTTGAAGCCTGTTTGAAAAGGTCGTAAACGATTTCAACTCTCCCTGCAGCCGATTAATGTATGCAGTTCTTGAGAATGATATTTACCATTCCTGTAACTCATCTTTAAATATACCCCTTTAAAATCTCTAGAAGTAATCTTAAAGCTCTGCCACTAATTGGCAATAAAGAATGCAGCAAGAAGTTTTTACTGATTAAAATGGAAGTGGGGAATGGGCACTTCTCCGGCAGCCGGCAAATGAATTAAAAATTCGGTTTTTATTGCATTTCATTTGCTGCTCATTATCATCAGGGAATAATTAAAGAATCACAACCGGCGAATGGAAATGAAATTAAGCATAAATTACGAGCTTCTGCCAGTGACAACAAGGCCGTGGCAGTGATTTATATCTACGATATATATATATAGATATATTTTTATATTCATTAAAAATCGAAGTGTCACTTACCTTCTTCATGAATGACATCACATTGGTGGGCAACATTTTGACGCGTTTTTTGTTGCTTATTTCCTTGGCTGAGAATCGGTTATTCGTTCGTTTTCTGTTTGTATTTAAAGTGCAATTAATCATGCATCCGCCGTGTTGGACGTTGCGTATACGTTATGTTTGCTTTGTTCTGGTCGCCAGTAAGCCGCTTTAAGTCATTTCGATTTCGATTTGGATTGTTTTCGTTCCTCTTGGCCATATTGTTTGTTCGTTCCACTGATGGCCATTTTTCACTGGCCATGTAAATAGGCATTGACATGGGGATATTGGCATACCAGCATTCTACATGTTGCTCCAGCTCCAGCTCTGGTCTCTATTCGATTGATTTATGTGCGGCTCTAGTTTCGTTCTTGGCTTTTAATTAACTTTGGCCATAATTCACAAGCGTTATTATTGCCGCCGGCTGCAGCTGCTCCTTTTTTGGCGGAAAACATGGAAAAGTACAACCGAGAAAGAGGCGGAAAATTATAATTAGTCATTTGGTAGTAGGAGAAAGTTGCACGCGGCGCGCTTAAAGTGCTCAACTCACGGACGTGTAATGGTCTGCCCGGCTTACACCGTACTTAGCTGGGCTCCATAAATTTCCCTACGATAACCATCAACGGCGTTTTTGGGTTTTCCCGCTACCCATAACCAAGCTATAAGCTCGCACTCTTACACACGCTCTGGCACATGGGGAAAAGTGGTGAAAAGTCGAGCGGCAAAAGTTTATAAGGCGGAAATAATGTGTCGCCTGGCATGCAAGAGTCCCTTTTCCATTGTGACCTGTATGGTAAGTTGGCCCTGCTAAGTGGGTTAGCAAACGAAGCCTTAAAGTTAACATCAGAAACTGATTTTCAATAAGTCCCGTTAGCCCAGTTAAGCTCTAATTTAAGAAAGTTGCTTATAATCCGTTTAGTTCCTTAAGAACTATAACCCTTAATTTCTCTTTAATTTTACTAGCAAAAAATCCAAAATTAAATCTTTCAAGAACTGAATATTTCTGTTTATTTCCCCTGTCTGAATGGCTGCTTTGTTAAGCTCTTTGGCTGACTGATAAGCTCTAGACCATCCCCATCAACTAGTGCAATCAGAGTGCTTTGGCCAGCTTATCGGGCGTTCACTGCAGCCGGGATGTTGTAGTGCACATAAAAGGGGGAACTCTGAGCTGGCTTTTCTGTTTGCCTGCCAATGGAATTATTAAATGAAATGACCCACATAGCAATTCAATTGTCGAGCTATCCGCTCGATTTGAGCTGCATCGGTCTAGGGATATATGCGACTATATACTGGCATTTGCAATTCCCATTGCCCAATTCCCAATTCGCATTGATGTTGCCGGGACAACGGATTAAAAGCGAAGGGATGCCGATCAAGTTTGAAGTTGCAAACTTTAGCCAAGTCATTGGCACAGAATGCAGTTAGTCGAGAAGTCTTCTTTTTTCCTCCTTTTTTGGCCATTGTGAGAGCATTTGAAAAGTTCATAAAAAGTCATTTGAGATAGTTCTCGACATGGGGAATGTGTCCCGACTTGCCGACTCGCCAAATGAGCTGGCGAATGGCGGGCGAAGTTTTAAATTGTATTTTGGGGAAAAATGAAAATTAGTTGCCGCTTGAAGCTGTCAAAATGCCAGCGACAGGACATGCATTCCGCGCACCAAAATCAGGACGAGCTTGATTTTCGGAGAAAGATCTTACAAGTGTTTATTTGGGGAAAGTGGGGAGGGGAAAATTCGGGTGGAAAAGCGACGACAGGCTCTCGTGCTTACACAAGCTTAGCGCGCAAGGATGTGCTCATAAATTGTAACTTTCCGTCGCCGTTGTTGGTGTTGGTAACAAGCATGAAATCACATGAACACACACACAAGCGCACACAGAGGACGAGGGGCTGCATGAGGAAAGAAGGCAGCTGGATGCTGCCTGGCAAAGTTCCAGCCAACTTGGTCGGCTGTAGTTGGCACCCAGTTAATTAGCGCGAAATTGGGAGAATGAGTTTCCGAATCGGGCTCTGGGCTTAGCCCAAAGTGAGTTCGCCCCCGCAGGCGAAGAGCCTTCGTCCTGTGCATGCTAATGAAACTGATCAGATTGCCATTAGCATTAAAGGTCAGTGTGTGTGTGTGTGTGAGTGGGTGAGTGTGTGCTCGGTTGGAAATAATACATGCATTAAATAAAGTCCAACAAGATTTATCACCCACACGCTTAGATCCTGTCCAGGACCCGGGACCCAAGGACATCGCAATTGTCACGCACAGGCAAACAAAGCTCGGCAAAACAAAACCTAGGCCGTAACCAAACCGAATCGAAATTGAAACGCTCGAATATAAAATAGAGGCAAGTACACATAGAGAAAAAGCGAGTTTTAATATAAAAGAACTACAAAATGGTATGAGAATACTATCCTTAGACCCTAGACCCTTGGTTTATGTCCCTTCATAGCCAAATCCATTTGCCTTTCGTCTAACATTTTTCCCTGTGGATGCCCAGTTGGTAGTTTTTTGAAAGTTTATTTCCATTTTCCATGTGTGGGCTGCGGCAAACTTTCAATGTCCGGCGATTTATTGCGACTAACGTCACACAGGGTGTCAAAGTGAATTGTTATGCCGGAACGTGCATGGGACACAAATTAAGTGCAGGCCAGTCCGAAATAAATGGAGGAAAAAATACGGCCAAAGCAATTCCTCAGCCAAATGAAGCGCAACAGCTTTTGAACCATGAAAAAAAAACAGGGCCAAGAGCAGCATCAGGTCCAATTGCAGTTGAGGAATCGCAGCGCAGTTCATAAATAAACCGGACAGCAGGGGGCATTGCTGGGATCACCAGAATCGCCGGCAGTCGAGAGCTGCGAAACCGAGCTCATGAATGCCATGAATGAGGCGTTGTCAACAAAGCCAAGCGATGGGGGATTTCCCCGGCGAGTCTGCAGATTACAAACCCGGAGACCTCCTCTTTCTCCCTTTTTGCTGCCTTGTTGCTCGGCTTGTTAACACACTCCGTGCTTGGTTGCTGTTGTAAGTTGGCTGCCAAAGGATGGGGCTTCCAAGGACCAGGGACCAGGGACCAGGATAAGATGAGTGCCGAGTTACCCACTCCATCTTCACATCTACTTGAGGTGCCTGACTGTGTGTGTCACTTGAAACTATGAAGAATCATAGTTTATCGATCTGGTGGAAAATTAATTTGCCTTAGCGAACAAGCGAAAGTTTTGAGGGGAAAACTTTGGAGAGCAGGGGAACTTTCCACAAGCGACGGGACAATCCAATGACACGGCCAGGATGCTTTTCAATATAAATTCTGCGAATTATAAACTTTCAACTATCTCACTAGTAGAGAAAAGCGCTTTTCTATGTGAATATCAATTAATAAAGTTTAGTCAAGAGGAAAATTCCATTTAATCAAATTGGTTTTACTTCAGTTTTAGGTAGTTCTTTCTTAATATTTAAGCAAGATGTCTCAAAATATATTCCTCTTCATTTTCAATAACAAAGAATCGATGAAATGTTTTACAAATCAAACTAAATTTCCGCTCAGTGCCTCTGGCACAGGCGACATTGTTGAGCAAAAAGGATTTTTAATGAACCTGCGACCGCGGCCTGTTTGCTTTCGGCCATCAGAGGACAGCAGGACACCACTACACCAGGACAGCCAAGTGGCAAACGAACGGGATGTCAACGCCATGGCTGGCTAATTGACAGAGACGGGCTTACTTGGCGGCTACACGATCTTGTCGGCCGTGTTTCCTGCCTCCTTGAAAATCCTTGGAAAGGTTTAATTGCTGGAAATAAACAGAAGAAGTTCGGTGGGGGGAATGGGATGTTGTGGGCTGACCGAACAGATTGCTGCCTCTGATTCTGATTGTGAATCCGATTCCGGGCAGCACATGGCATCACTCCCATTGACATGGCCATTTCCATTTACAATTTCCCCAGGATTTTCGCCATGCAGAACACGTACGCTGAGAAATGAAATAAAACTACGCCCACTGGAAACGCTGAGCTTTTCGCCGGAGTGCAAACAAAGGCTGGCAATCGTTTAAACTGCTGCCAAACTCAATTATTCAAATGGCAAGTGGGAGTAGGGGGCGTGACAGAGGCAGTTAGCAGGGAGTAGGGGGCGTGGCTCATGTGCCTCAAGTGGCACTCGCTTTGCGGTCGCACACGGCGATACTTGCAACTTGACGTTTAATCAAAGCGAAAGCAAAAGCAAAAGCAAAACCAAAAGCCTAAGCAAGAGTCCTTCAGAAGTGGCGCATGCCTCGATTTGCTCTGAAGGAGCTCCGTTTTGCGGTCGGGCCACAAAACAGTTGACACGTCGCTCTCAATATCCTGTCGACTGTATCCTGACTTTCATCTTAATTGAAATCGAATCAAAGTGTTTTCACTTTCACAAATGAAATTGTCTGCTGCACGCATTGTTCGAGTTATGTTTTTGGCCAACTGTTGCCACCAACTAATGACCTGGCATTGTGTTCGGCTCCGGGTTTTACACTCAATTTGCTGGTATTGTGGCTTATTGTTTCATAAATTATTTATTAGAAAATTTTATTTGCTTTCGGTCTCCGTCTCTAGCTCTGGCTCTGGCTCTGGCTCTTTTGCTTTCGCCCTGTTTGCTCTCTTGCCTCCCCCTGGGGAATTGGCCCGGCTTTGTGCGACGATATTTGATTATGGACTCGAACTGAAACAGAAACTGAATCTGGGACATGCCATGCACTTCACAATGTCAGCCAGCAACCAGCAGTTGCGTGCCACGATTTGGGCCATCGGATTATGGAACCAATATTACTGGTCAGAAATGCTTTCGATTCCTCCTCCTCCTCCACCACCTCCTACTCCCACTCCTTCAGATCTGATTACACAAAGCTGGGAAGCTGGAAACTTATTGGACAACGGAAACCCATCGTTCCAATGCAGTGTCCTACAATCAACATCAAACGACTGGCGAGTGCTTAGCAAATATTACGCATTCGCCCTGTTTGATATTAGGAGGAATTAAGCATACGCCCTGTGAACATCAGACATAACAGCAGAGAGAGAAAAGTAATGGCAGAAATGTTTTGTTTTCTAAATTTCCTCATCAGATTTTAGATTTAGTCAATAAAGGGTCCTATATTCCTTCTATACTAAGGCCTTTGATAGTCGAAAGTTCTTCTTAAGTATTCCATTCTTGGACTTGTACTTTAAATTTAAATATAATCTTTAAATATTAGTAAAGCTTAGTTAATCCAAATTCCTTTTGAATAAAAATATGAGTATTTTCCGTGAAGAGCAATAAAACTCGGGCCAAATGTACTTGATATGGATATGTCCACCCCTGAGCTCGCCTACCGCTCATTAACGCTTTGTAAAATGTGCAGCTCGACGACTATTTTCTTGCATGACAACACGCAATTGTGCCACGCCCCTTTCCCACAGTCGGGTGGCAGGTGGAGGCATCGCATTTTGGCATTTATGATGTCGCGCCAACGTGGCAACTCATTAGGAATGCGTGAAATTCAACACAGTCTCATCCGCATTTAAGGACGAAGCCAGGACGTAATTGTCACTGTGTCGTAAAAGCAGGGAACTGCTACTTAATTTCCTTATTAGGACATCATTCCCAAGCATCCCTTGATTTATTCGCGTTGGAAAAACTTTATATTAATTACGCACGGCTGGCCTAGAAAATTAAATCAAACGGAGCGGAGAACAAAAAAGTGAGCGGTATAAAAACCGAACCTCGTAATAACAAAACCCCGGCCAGAACCAGACAAAAAGGCTTAATGGCCGTTAAGCGATGGCACGACCGTTGAGATTTTTTGGCCAGGATGGGAACTGGAGAGCAAAGTGACCGCAATTAATTAACCACAAGGCGGCGAATGCCGCTGGCAATAAAAAATAATTATAATTATTTTCAGCAAGTGCTTGCAAAAAGAGTCCAGATACACTCGTAAAACAAAGGATAACAAACTGGATTCATTGTAGAATTAAGGAGAATATAAATTAATATGAATTTAAGTTTATTCTTAGTGCTTGTATTTATTTTACAAATTTCTAACAAAACCATTTATTTTTCTAAGGATTAAAACTTGATTTATGGAATATGATTTATAGCAACAGAGAGAGAGAGTGAGGGAAAGCCATAAATTTGACAAGTGTAGAATAAGAAAGGATATATATTTTGGGGTGGAAAAATTCCCAAAAATAAAACAAAGTGCTAGGCATTCATTGCGTAATTAAATGTTGGCCCAAACCGAACAGGGCTAAGGTTAAGCCGACTGGCTGTCAAGGCCCGGCCTTTGAGCTCGAACATATTGCCAGTTAATTATTCAGCACATGCATGAAGGATGTACCAATGTCAATGTCAATGTCGAACTGTCGGCCAACTAAACAAGCCGTAAAAGCAGCTCAACGGCCTCATGAACTTTTCCAGCGCATCTAATGCGAATTCAATGTCGTTCTGGTCGTCCTTCCTTGGCCCGCCTCTCTCTCTCTCTCTCTCTATACCTTGCCAGCCGCCTTCAACACAACTCGTCCTTGGAAGGACGACCTCGTGGCCCGTCAGCAAAGTCAATTAAAAAATATGAGCACAAACTAAATAAATTGTCATAAATATGCAAAAGAGGACAAAATAGATTTTCTGCCAAGGCTGTCATGGCAACCTGGATTTAAGCCATTTGTTCTAGCTTGTTTTCAGCATTATGCATAATCATGTCTACCATCGATACGCACATGACGTGGGCGTATGGGCGTATGGCTGTCATTATTGTTATTACTCGCACTGTCGTAGAGCACTTGTTGTGCTTACTTATCGCACCGCACTCTCACACGCCCGCACACCCATAACATGTGTCTGGGCTGTCGCAGCTGTCTGTCTGCGGTTCTGCAGGATCCCATTTCCCCGGCGCCTTCAGCTGTCTCCATCACCGGATCCCAAGCCCATTTCCACTCCGACATTCCCTGCATGGCAGGCAGAGCCCTGTAAATTGCATTGCAAGTGCTTGGCTTGGATACACGGAGGAAAAGGGCATGAAATCAGGTCAACACTTTGGTATGTTTCCATGTAAGAATTTCTTTTATTTCAAGTGGAGTATCGGAATATAAGGCAACAGATAAATGGGCATCTATTCCGGATGCAAATTTGCAGCCTTGATTCTCTTGCAAAATTTAACAAATCTGTGTGTGGCCGGAAGGTCAAATGTCAGACCAACAGACAGACAAATATTTAATTCCCACAATCGCACACAATCCCCAGCCCGGCCAGCTTTGCCCTTTTGCCGTTTTATTATTTATGAAATATTCAGCACTTATATTCATTAATTTGATTGCGATCTGAATTGATGCATTTTTCATATGGTCTGGCAAATTGGTTTTAACTTCCTAGTGAAACTGAACGAATTGAAATGGCAAATTGGGCTAATTCGGTCTCATGAAGCACTAATTATACGCGATTCCAGCTCCGATTCCACGGTCGTTTGTCTCTGTCTCTCCGTCCTCCGGATGTATTCAATTAAATCCGCGAAAGTGAAGGACCCCGCAGGCGATATTGATTACAAGGTCACAAGGAAAAATCAACATGAATCCTGGTAATTTATGACAAATCGAGCTAAGTAAACACCATGCTGCGTTTGATGTTTTTCTTGTGTGTTACATATTGCGCATACGCCGCATGGCCAGTCACTCACACTCAGCCTCAAGTCATTTTTCATGATAATGTATTTAACATACGTATTAATCAAAGACAGAGGGTGGTTATAGGGCGGTGTGGCATACCGCAGCGCAGGCATTCTGCTATTATTGAACCCCACAATTTAAATTGATCCGCCGGCAATAGCAAAGCAATAATTGCTGTGGTTTGGCTTGCCAGGACGCCGCACAGATACAGATACTGGAAGACGCCAGCCGAGGCCATTATTCGACCGCACATCCTTGCCAGGACTCTCAACTCCTCTCCTCTGCGGAATGCCGCAGGCATCGCATATTGTTTCGGGCCCCCGATTCTGCAACTCAAACCTAATCATCTGCGCACAGTAATCCCATCATTTGTAATGCATACTCTCTCGGGTTTGGGGAGGGAACACTGGGGGAAAAAGTGCCTTTATTTGCGTATTTATTTGTCTTTATAATCAGAAGTTGTATTTCTTCAATCTTGCATTAGGATTTATCAACTTTTTGTCCTTAGAAGAAGTTCAGAATCATTAAAATACATTTATTTTCTCAGCCAAATCTTCCTTCAGTATTTTAAAGACATTTACTTCATGATTTTGCAACCTTCTTCTTATAGTTTCGTTATAAAGGCAACTCATAACCCAATATGTTCCTGTGTACGCCCAAAAATACCGCAGTAAGTTGAAGTTAGGCCTCTCATCTGGCCATTGTGGCAACAAATTACCTGTGCGATTTGATTTCATTTCCGTTCTGCTGCCACCGCCTTCAGCTTCATCCACAGCCTCTCGGATTTGGGAATTCGACTAGGGCTACACACCTACAGTTCCAGATCCTTTGCCATCTAAATCATCATCAGCGTCGTCGTGGAGTCGACATCATGCTGCTCGATTTGTTGGGCGCCGTCGATGTGCATTCGGTTTTTTGGCTTTCGATTTGAAATCGGGCTGCGTGCTTGGAGCTCTGCAAGGATATGGAGGGAGAGATGTTGCTATGAGCATGTCCTGGCATTAGACAGCTGTCGAATGTGAAATGTGGGGCATAAATCAAATGTTATGCTCGCCAGGGCGGAAACTTCTGGGCCTAAACTGCAATCGGGCAATAACCCATTTTCAAACTCATCAATTTTCATTCAATTGGAATCAATCTAGGTTATAGTTACTGAAGAGAATACAAGCTTATTTTGTAGTTTGAAAACCTGTGTTAGTTTCTCAGATTAAAGCTTTAAGTAAATTTAGAAATATGCAAATTTAATTGAGAGCTTTTGACACTTTGCATTATCGATTCTGCTTGAATGGACCCTCGATGGAATGCCCCCTCCATTAATACTTTATCACAACAGCTGACTTTTCCCCATTTACTCCGAGTACTAAGTACCTACTAAGCCCCCAAAGTGCAGAGAAAGTATATTTCTATCATAAATTCGGCTGACTTGGAAACTTTTCGACGGCTGCGGCATTTGCGGCCCTGTTGCTGTAGCTATGTGTATATACTAAACATTATATAGCTATATATATATATATATGTATACTATAGCTGGATCTGAAGCCTTCTTGTGGCTGTTGTCGTTACTCTCGTAATTATGAAAGTTGGCCAACTGGGCTGCGGTCGCGCCTTCCCTGGGGCATTCAAGTTCTGCCACAATGCTCCTCCTTATTTTGTTGCCCTCAACTATGCAACAGCAAATTGTATATGCGGAAATTGAAGGACACCATGGTGTGGGCATATTTTTGGGCACAGGACATCCTCATTACGTCCAAGTGGCACATTCAGAATGCAGAATTGCTGTGGCCAAAAACTTTCGGACCGACTTAGAGCTGCTGTTGAAAGTTTATTTAAATTAGTAAATGAGAATTGTAGTTGTTGGCCGGAAGTTGTCGATGTCAGTCGCCGACAGCTCGAAAAACAAGGGCATAAATTACACAAAGGCAGCTGTGGAGGCTCAAGTCCAGGACGAGCACCAAGACCAAGTCCATTTTCGACAGCATCAAAGTCACTCAAGCACACGGGCGGCCATAGCCGAAAAACTTGGCCCAAAGTATGCAAAAGCCAGGATGGAGTGAAATTATGAAGCACTGCCAAATTCGTTCAAATTGCCAGTCAGTCAGTCTGTTAGTCTGTTAGTCAGTCACCCAGCCAGCCAGCCAGCCAGCCAGCCAGCCAGCCAGCCAGTCAGACATCCTGGACGTACGTGCTGGGATGTAGATCTCGGGGAAAGTTAACCCTGGCCACGCAGCCACTTCACTTCGATCCCCTGCTAACTTGTTTTTGTTCAATCAACAACAGGGCTATATTGCTATTGCCAGGCATTGTCGGTGGCCTTCAGCGCCGCTGTCGCCCGCTTGTTTGTCTAAGTGAAGTGAAGTGTGCCAAAGATATTTGCGCCCGATATGCGTTCAGGCATTTCGGGTTAAGGCCCTGCTCCCAGTTACTCTTTCAGTGTCAGCTTTTAGTTTTACACTGCCAGAAAAGGGAGCATAAATGGCTTAACATGTTATTGGTTTTGAAAGGCTAAGAGCACTTCTCAGAGAAACTGCTTAGACTAATTAGATTAACAAGCAGAACTAAAGTTAAAGAGTTATAGAATTACTTTCTCTACTAGCTTATCATACATCATTTTCAGTGTACTACCAACGAATAGGCAAAAGAGCTGCTTATGGCCAAATGACTGTATCACTCAATAGCCAGAATATGACAAAGAGAGTACTTTGGCCTGATGGAGCAATAAGCAGCCTGGCAAACAAGTATTTCACTTACAACGCCGCTGTCTGTCTAATGAGCCATCCTTTCAGCCGGATTTCGCCTCCTGGCAGCGGAAGAGCACCGGACACACGTGTGCCTTTGATTTGAATGCGACAAAAGAAATTAGTTCCAAGTGCAGGGGGGTTATGGGGCTGAGGCAGTGTTCATGCTTCAAGGATTATGTGAAACAAATACAATCAGGCGAAAAGCCATTTTTCCTTCGTTTTTCTTACTCGTTTTAATAGCTTGTTTTGAAGTTACAAGGACTTGAGTTGTTCTTGAAGTCTCGAGGGCTTACCAAGGGAAATGTTTAGGTGTCATAAAATATTTTACACCACAAATCATGCAATTACATTTTATATTGCTTTGCTTTAAGGCCTCCATAGACTTAATAAAAACTTGGTCTGGCTTTGGTTTTTGAACACTTTTCGTTGCAAATTTATGATTGATTCTGGAGGAGAGCTGACTTTTTGGCCTGTTTCTGAATAGAAGATCTTTAAGAATTTATGAAAATATTGTTATTAGTAAGTCAGCATCTCTGGTTGGCAAACAAATACTGCCAATTTGTTAGGAAATCTTTTAAATCCTGCAAAGAATCCTAAAAGATACAGGAAATGTATTCCACAGAAGGCTTTAGAAGCCGAAGAAGCTAAAATTATTTAGTCTGCATATGGCAGAGAAATTAATAAATTCCCAGAAACGGCGACGACCATCGAGTGCTAAGCCAAGTTTTTAATCCAATCATAAGTTATTAGCACCCACTCTTTCCGAGCAGGAAAAGCTCAAAGTGGGAATAGAAAAAAAGAAAACCATTCACTTGTAGAGCGTTTTTTGAGCGACATTTTCGCCATGCGAGGACGGCACAAGGCAAAAAAGCTTGATTCATGGACCGCACTTTTTCCTATGGTCCAGCACTGAGTTGTAGCCAACATTCAACGAGGCGTGGATCCCTTTCGGAATCGAGTCCCTTTTGATGGCCTTTGTGGGTGGATGAGGACGTGGCTATAGATGTAGATGTGGATGTGGAGGCTGTGCGTTGACGGCAAGTTTCACAAATGATTTCACATTTTTGCATAAATAAATGTCAAGTGTGCGCCGGAGCATGCGGAGCGTTGCTGACAGTTTTCTAATAAACCCGAAGGGAGAAAGAAAACAGGATAATCAGCGCGCACGACAGGGATAAAGAAACCGGAGCAACAAGTTGAATGTGTGGTGTATATATCCCATATCCTATATCCCATATCCCTCTGTGTGTGTGTCCACTTTAGCTTAGCAATAATAATAACCTTGGCTGCCATGATGCCTGCCATTTTTCAATGTGTGTGTGTGTGTGCTGGAGCTTTTCCCCATATGAAAATGACAATTTCCATTCCTCTCGACACTCGACACTCCGGCTGGGTGCTATGGTTATTTTAGGATTTCCCAGCAACGTTGGCAATTTTAATAATGTTTACTCAAGGCGTAGTCTTAGATCATTTGGCCACGTCCCTAGCTCCCTCGATCCTTTGCCTTCAAATAAATAATAATGGAAAAGCAGGAAAATAAAGGAAAAGTGGCCAGGCTGCAGGACTCGTGTGTGCAGCGAGGCATGCCAAATGACAGCTGCTACCACAACAGTTACTCAGCTTGTAAATGGAAAATGCCAGGAGCTTAATAAGCGGCAGCAGCAGTGTCATCAGGCCATAAGATGCAGCACGCTATTGCAGCGGAAAACTGACAATTCCGGGTCAGCCAGCTTGCTACGTGTGGTTTTTTTTCTGTGTCTCCGGGTCAAGACATTGGCATTCCAGCCATCGCACCCATTAGACCCATAATTTATATTCCACACAAACAAAAAGGGGTTCGTTCCGAAGCCACATTATCCCTTTGCCAGCAGAAAGCATTTAAATAAATACCACTTTAAGCTGCCACTTGCTGCAGCTGCTGCCTAATGAGCGGATTAAAGTGCCCCAATAAAGGTCCTCGCCGCTTCCTGTTCCTGGGAATGTTTCTCCGCTCTCCACTCTAGTTGCTTCTGGGAATATCCATCCATGGCTGCAGCACAAAGTGCCGCAGGAACATCAACTAGTGGAAGGACTTCTTCTGGGAAAAACAACATTGCTTGACGTCTCTGGCAATCAGATATTGAAATCGAATAGTCCTTGAAAGGCTTTGAAGTTCTCGTTTATGTAGAAAGGAAAAGAGTTTTCGGCAATCAGATTTCGAAATCTAATATTCATTTGCCATCGCAAGGGTTTCGTTTATGTTGAAAAGAAACTTAGATAAAAATGCTTATAGTTATTCTTTTACTTATGAAAATCCAAGTCTTGTCTGCGAATTTTCAATCATTATTTAAAAGGAAAATAGTCACATTCTGTTATAGTTAGTTTCCATGAAAATCCACAGTACGTATGAGCAATAAGTGCTTTTTCCCTTTCGTTGCCAATTTCCCTGGCAATATTTACAATAAGAAGGGAAAACACTTTGATTTGCATGCGGGAGTCTTTGAGCTGGCTTTGTTTGGCAAAAGACTTTTGCCCAGAGACACAGAAAAAAGAAAACATATTGCCTCATGCACGGTTTATATTGGAAAATATTGATTTACCTGCTATCAAAGACAGCTGCGACTCGTTCGACTCGTATTTGTGTTTGCACTTGGTGCGAGCCACAATGCCAGGACCTTAGACCTTAGATCCCCGCTGCCAGGATACATACATAGTGTTTAATTTGGCCCTTATGCTCCAGTTGCCAGCCATAAACGCAATAATCAATACGGATTGTCGGGGCGCAAAGTGCCGGTATGCCAGGATGGCAGGATGGCAGGATGGCAGGATGTGAGTGTGCCGCAAACGATTCGCATTCACATTCGCATTTCTTTGTGGGCCTGCCAGTGTGGCCAACTCAGCCCGAGGGGCTCAACAAGTGCAGCTAAGGCCACATCATTAACATTTGGCGCGGCACTCAATGTCACGGCAACGTGACTGGCTGGCTGCTTCTAAATATCCCCACATAGGCACCTTTGTACATATGTCTAAGGTCACGGGGGCTAGACGCACCTCAAGTATTTTATTTACAGCTCTCGGACTTGGAATTGTGTTCTCCGAGGGATCTTTTTTCGAAAGGACCTTCAAAGAAATGCTGCTAAAAGCCATTTGTTGGTTTCATTTGACCTTAAAGAGTAGTTTGTTTTTCGAAATAAGATAGATTTGTTAGATAAAATAATTTTAGGAATATCATAAAGC